ATCCATTCCATACCATGCTGCTCGGTTTGGAGTCGATCCATTCAGATTAAATGGCCGCTGGCGCAATCAGCATTTGACCGCCATCAGGGTGGAGAAGCTGGTTGTTCAGGAACAGTCCCCCCTTGCCGACCAAGTACAGGATGGTCGCTGCCATGTCCGCATCGCCGCCGCCTCGACCTAACGTGGTTGGGATTTCAGTCAGTCAAGTCCCGTCAACTCGTCGTGATGATCGAAGCGAAGTCCGTGCTTTTTTTTAGTGATTGCTTTATTTGGACAAGCAGTCACTCTCAGAATCGTAGGCGCAACTCACCTGCAGGATTACTGATCTCGGAACTCAGTTCGCTCTTCTGGGTCTCGTCGCTTTCACCCGTCGTCATCTCGCTGGGGAAAATGCCCGGGGCGATCTGGTTCACACGCACTTTCGTCTCGGCCAGCGTGCTTGCCAACATGCGCGTCAGGTGAATGAACCCGGCTTTGCTGCTGGCGTATGCGAATTGTCCGTTGCTCGAACCTTTCATGAGGCCGCTGATGCTGGTGACGTTGACGATGCTGCTGGTGTAGCCGGGGGTTACGTCGCGGCCTTTGCTGAGAAGTGGAAGCTGAGGAATTGTGTTAGCGCCACGATGCTCTCTTTGGTGACAGTGAGGTACTGTGAGGGACGGGAGGGGCTCGCGCCGCCGCAACATTCATGTCCGTGTTTCTGATATTGTTTCCCTGGGATTTGCGAAGGCTGGAAAACACTTACAAATGCGGCAGACATGAAGAACTGGGCCGTGATGTTTGTCAAGAACGTCTCCTGCCAATCGTCGACCTCGGATTTCAGCATGTGCTGCGAAATGCTCTCGGCAGATTTCGTGTCCGGCTTTCCTGTGGCGGAGAACTTTGTGTGGTCGTCACGAGCGATGCCGGCGTTGTTGACCAGCAAGTGAACACCGCCGGACTCCTGCTTGGCCACCTCGTCCGCGAGCCGCACGCACTCTTCCTTCTTGGTGATGTCGCCGGGCAACGCATGGATACTGCCCGGTCCGTTGCTGTACTGCTTGACCACGGCGTCGAGCGCCTCCTGTCGCCGGCCCGTGATGTAGACCTTTGCCCCGTTGGACTGCAGCGTCTGGGCGATCATCAACCCGATGCCCGTGCCTCCGCCCGTCACGACCGCCACGACGTGCGACACGTCAAAGAGCTTGCTGGCCTGCAGGTCTTCATTGGGCAGATGCGACGTCTTGACGGCACTCATGATGGAGCGGACCTGGAAGACTTGGTGATTCGGTCGTCGAGAGAGGGGTTTTGATAGATCTATACTAATGCAGGTCCTAGTGTTAGGGTTGCGAAGGAAGAAGAGGTTGCGAAACATGGCACAAGCAACTTCTTAGGATATACCCAGTACATATATAAACGCATGCACACTAGCTCACTCAATCCCTTGTCATGTCAGGATTCTCAGCCGTGATCATATTGCGCATTTACATGGCATGGCGTTGTATGGCGTTGCTCCATAGGGAGGGCGGGGAGAGTCAACGATGCAATAATGACGTTTTGAAGACACACATACTCACTGCCTCTGTCCCTCCCACCAGGGGACGGATTATACTCCGTACGCCTAAACAAAACACTAGTGATCAAGGTACTATCTATCTGGGTACCCCACGACGGCCGGTTTCTCGCACGTCGGTGTAGGGTGGGTGGGCACTGCGGACTCGACGCTTGACAAGGCCTTCGACGCTCTTCACGCTAGCTATGTACTGTGGAGGATCTCATCCTAGCTGTTGACACATCACCATCAAGGTTATTAGCATGAGCTCTGCGTCGCGTAATAAATCTTACATCGAGAAAAGTCGGCATAAGTCAGATAGAAAAGACTGTAACAGCGCTTGTTTCGTTATCAATACTTTTTAGGGTACAGGATATGTAGGTTCAAACCCCCGACTCCACCATTTCACGTTATACACTGGCGTTTACCCTCTGTCGTCAAACGCCACATGAACAATAATCGTATCTTCGTCGGGATCATAGGGCATGAAGAGAAATCACACATAGCACAGACATGAACACAACGCCAATCCTTTCGAACAAACCACCGCCCGCGAGTAGTCGGCTGGCTCCACTCTCTCCATCGCCCGTGGTCAGCCCGAACGGCAGCCCTTGGTACCCAAACGTGAGATTCTGTGGAATGGTCGCATTCAGACACTGTCCATTCACAATATCAAGACCAGCCAGATCGTCCGGTACCCTGAAGAACATGTAACTCTGCTGGTTGAGGTTTTTGAAACCTTCGGTGTTGTAAGGAAACTTGTCTCCAGGGTCTGTAGAGGAGGTATTGCGAAGGAAAATGCATTGGACTTGGCCGGGGTACTGTGTCGCCATCTCGGGATAATCGCGCATGACATCCGAATTGCTTGTGTCCGCAACTAGGATGAATTTGCGATGCGGGAAACTCTGAAATATCTTGTCCAGGAGGAATTTTCTGATGGACAGAGTGGCAGAGACGTCGCTGAAGTTAAGGGGTCGGGTGTCGAAACTACCACCTGGATTGAATGGTGAGATCCCAATCAACAGAGGCGGAAAATATCGCTTACCTGGATAAGTGTCGTAGATGAACTGCATGTAGTTGCGCGTGATTTGCTCCGGGGTGGTTGTGAGGTAGTGGAAATGCATGTTGGGCAGACTGACAGACCAGTTACGGTAGATGTCTGGCATGTTCATCCAAGGTGTAAACGGACGAGCAAAAGAGTTGAGGAGACCTTCCTTGGGCTCGTAGATCTTTGTCACGCGAAGGATGTCATCAATGTCGGAGATGATGGTCAGTCCTTGGTCGGAGACGAGGTATGATGTGGCATTCCCTGTGTCAGCGCCCTGGGCGTAAACATTCAACCTTTGTGGTGGGACATCGCCAGTTCCCGAAGCCAACGTGAACGAGTTGTTGTCTATTGGAATGAAGACATCAAAGTCGCCCTCGGGGGTGGTTGGGTCGGGAAGGGTGACGACCTGCTCTCCACCAGCGGGAGTCACGCCACCACCTCCGCCAGGCTGTCCATTGGTGCCAAACTCGGGTGCAGGGAGAATGTCCATGGTGACCGTTTGATTCCCTTGCTGAACCACGTATATCTCCCTGGTGAGGTTGCGGGCCTGGGCCTGCTGTGATGGAGGAAGATCCTCAATGCTTGTGTCGATCAGGAAAAAGTTGGCGAGGCGGTCTACCGTGGCATTGGAAATATTTGGTTGCTTGAACACATTCCCATGTATGCGCAGATTCCAACCAGACGAAGTCCAATTCCCATACCCAGGGATGTTCAACACTTGTGTAGGTGTGGCAACCAGATCCGAGCTGCTCACTCCCACCGAGCTCATAACAGCACTGCCCGTGGGTAGGTCCTGTAGATTGGGTAGGAGCCCATTGGAGACGTATGAGGGGATAGCCGTTCCCAGCTCGCTGAACACCGAGTTCACATATGAGTCCAGCTCTGACTCTAGATCGCTGACGATGTTTCGCCTTGCTCCTGCGTATGAACCGTATACTGCTAGTGTGCGAGTGGGTGCAGGTGTGATCAATGCTTCCTCTTCTGGGAGCACTTGACTCGGCACTGCGGAGGCTTGAAATAGGACAAAAGAAGTCGCGAGGAGTAGGCGCAAAGCCATGGTTACTAGGTTGCCTTTCAATGTGATAACCTGCTCTCGTTAGCCACAGACGAAATTGTTTGAGGTGTAGGTACACGCACAAACAATACCGTCTTATCCTTCTCAGAATGTTACGCTCGCACAAGTCATTTAGCCTGCTGTACCCTTAAGAAGAACACCAACTCGAATACAATAGAAGCACGCGATCCCGGACAGCGAAGAGGAGAGAAACGAAAGGTGATGCGTTGTGAGGCGCAGGATTGTATTGACAGAAACGAGTGACCCTGGCGGAAGGTCCGGGGAGTGGAAATCAGGGAAGGTTACCTTGATCTGCTTGATCTGAGGCCCGCATCACCGTTGAGCATGGGTCGTGCATATCGCAGTCAAGCCTTGATTGAGTAAATGAGCGACTGGCTGAAGACTCGCAGACGCGCAGAATGAGAGAGAGTCAGAGATGGATGACGTCAATTGCCATAAGAGGACTAGCCTGCCAACTTTATTCTGATAAGCAACAAGGCGTGCCAGGCACGTGCCAGGCACAAACAACAAGCCACACTTCACCAGTACATACTCGTAAATATCCCTTCACCACCTGAAACTCCCAATGCTGACCCAGAACGAGAGAACAAGAATACCCTCATCCTAGTTATACTCACAAGTTTGCTCTCTCTATCTCTTGATCAACCTCCGTGGACTATGTGTGATGCCCAAGGATACCATGTGCAATCTGAAGCGGATCGACTTCTGTCTCACGGAGGCCTCGAGTGAGGTAGGTGTCTTCTCGGAAACCGCTGACTTAGGATCTTCGACCCAACTCTGATTAACCGTTATTTCTTGTTGTTACACCGTACTTGAGCTTTGTGTCTTGATATTTGCCGATAAGAAGCACCGCGCTGGCCATTTGAGGTCTCTCAGGCCACTATTACCGTGTTTTCCATCAGTACACTGGAATTTGATCTCGACTATGGGATTGGCAGCTAATTGCAATCATTCCACCCTGCCCAGAATGGCCCAGTGGCGTACTCTCACTCCGTGTGGAATGCGCCAGGGAAGCTTATCTCGGCATATCCTCAAGGATGGTCTTCTGCATTCCACACAGGCACACCTTGAATGCTTGGTTTCCACCATCGCAGGCCCGTGCATTGTGGTCGATAGGGGAGCCGGGATGGAATGCAGCATTCTGGCTGTGTTGTTATGGTCTCGCGTCTTCCAGGCGTGATTCCTCAAAAGCCAACCACCTCTGCCATTCTTCCTTGACCTTTTCCTCATTGACAGTCACTCGTTTGGTTTGGAGTTCTGCAGTCCTCCATTTCTTATCAATCCTGTTTTCAGTCTTGTTCTTCACAGAATACGGCATAAAAAAGAAAGCAACACGCAGGCCCGCCATGTGGCCATCAACGTCACTCCTTTTCTCCTCCCTGGCTCTGCGATTTGCAGCAGCGAATGCCCAGGCTCTGGCCACAGTCACTTACGGACCCAGCGGACCTTGTCCAGTGCCATCCGTCACCAGCATCGTCGTTGTACAGCCAGGCTACTACAGCTCTTTCTTTCAGTCAGCCTCGCAGATTGTGAATCTCTTTGGTAACGGTGATACGGTTACGATTCAAAATGCCCCGACGACGTACATTACAAACACATACATTACCACGACCATCATCTCCACCATCACGAACGTCGTAAGCTCTTCAACCACGACGACGACTCCGTCTAGCAGCTCTTCCAGCTCTTCCAGCTCTCCCAGCCCTAGCAGCTCTAGCAGTGTGAGTGATGGACCGGTTACCACAACTGGAACTGCTGCTTCCTCGCCATCGACATCCGTTTCGATAACTTCCACCGTGACTTTGACCACGACAGCTTCGGGGACTTCATCAACTTCTACCACGGAATTCACGCCTATTCCTCCTCCTGCTACGACACCAACCCCGCCACCGGTCCTGACTTCTACGTCGGTTGATGCGCAGGGAAACACAATCCTCATCCCGATTACGCAGCCACCACTGGTTCTTGGCGAGGGCCTGCCATCAGGAACTGTAACAGATCTCCCATCATCATCAGCCATCATTGTAGGCATTGCAGTTGCCGGTCTGGGTGGAGCGAAGGTGAAGAGACAGAACTCAGGCGCCCAAGCTTCTGAGTTACTTTCGGGGGACGAAGGAGGCTCCAGTAATGCATGTGACGTTGCCGTCAGGTATTTTCTACAACGCGGTCAACTGACAAATGGTACCGATGTGGTCGGCCGCAACACCACCGACTCTTTCGCCCTCATAACACCGGATCCCGATATCAATAATGTCACTACCGTGTTTTCTTTTGTTGATGGTATTCTGAACTGGGATTCGGTCGACCAAGGTGCTGCCACCTTCTATCGCTGTGGTGATAACAAGGTGTGGGCTGGATTTCCGTCTCCTCCTCGGCCTGATTGCTACAACGTCACCTTGGGCGGCATTGTTGCTAGTGCTTGCCCGGTCCCTTTCCGGGACCCGGACGCTACTACCTCATCAACGACTAGCTCTTCCAGCACTCCGACTTCAACAGATGTGCCGACCACGACCCCCGAAACTACAACAACCCCCGAGGTGACTACAACTCCCGAAGCAACTACAACTCCTGAGGAGACGACAACCCCCGATGCCACTACAACCCCTGAAGCGACCACGACTCCCGAGACGTCAACAACCCCAGAAGCGACTACAACCCCTGACGAGACGACAACTCCTGATGCAACGACAACTCCTGAGGAGACGACAACCCCCGATGCCACGACAACTCCTGGAGCAACTACAACTCCTGAACTGACCACAACTACAACTCCTGATTCGGAGAATCCGACATCGCCCACGACGACACCTGAACCACCATCCTCAGGCGAGTCATCAGGTACTCCGTCTCCTTCGTCAAGTTCACCACCGATCGTCACAAGCTCTCTGTCACAGACTAGCCAACCTCCCGGGGTTTCAACTACCTCAAATGCCCCGCCGGTGACTACGGGACCTGTGTCCACTAGCTCTCCATCATCTGCTTCGATAGGGATGAGCTCAACAAACGTAGGGCCTGCGCAATCCAGCTCGACCAGTGTTGCCCCTGCACAGTCAAGTTCAAGTATTGCCACGAGCCGGTCAAGCTCTACGAGTGTTCTCGTGCAATCCAGCACGACTGCTATAGTCCCAACAACACCCGTTGTGACCACCGGCGGCACCACAGGTGGACCAAGCTCTACATCGCCTGGCGTCCAAAGTACAAACTCCGGTAGCTCGGTATTGCCTTCCTCTAGTGCAGCCCAGAGTACGAGCAATCCCAGCTCGACGACTTCAGCAGGTATAGTGTCTTCCTCTCCTTCCTCATCCACTGTCATCCCCAGTCCAAGCACTACATCCCTGTCCTCAAGCAGCAACCCTGTGGTACCAACAACATCGTCCTCAGTGTTGGTAGCTGGTACTTCATCTTCGACAAATGCAGCTACGACAGCTGGTGCTACTTCATCTCCAGCCACTACACTCGGTGAATCAAGCACAAGTTCATTAGCAGCAAGCTCCCCGTCGACAAGTACTGCTGTAATCAACCCTACGACGACAAACCCGGTACCGACGACTTCTTCAAGCCCGAGCTCTATGACTACAAGCACTTTGGTCACCACCCCAGTGCCGACAACAGCACAAGGGACAACTCAAACCTCTATTGTAGGATCTCCTACTACGAGTAACGCCGCTACATCCACTGCCATTGGTGGCACGACTAGTGCCAGCTCTGTTGTAAGCTCTGGTACGTCTTTCATTGTAGCGTCCACAAGTTCTTCTAGTCCTTCTACATCTCTCCCCGGTCCGTCCTCAACCTTGGATACCTCAAACAGCACCCCTGCTGGTACGACTGTGCTCCCGACGACTGCGCCTTTGTCTACCACGTTGATGACCTCTGGACCACCTGGCACTACATCGTCAGTTCTTGTCACCTCAGTTGCTACGTCTTCGGCAGCTGCACCTACGACAGTTGTTTCACCAAGTTCTACTCCGAGCACGAGTGCCATTGGTACTACGACCCTCAGCAGTGCTACCGCTGGGACAACATCAACGGGTGGGAGCACCGCGGTCTCATCAGCACCTACAGGCTCTTCAGCTTCCTCTACTGCAGGCGGCGTCACCACCAACGCCGGTTCATCTTCGACAACGACGGCGTCAAGCTCGTCGAGATCGACTACCACGCCTTCATCCTCACCAGGCACTTCGGGAACATCATCCATGGGTGCGTCAAATGTCATTCTCCATCTAATTCTGTCATCCATTCCCTCGCCGACTCTACTTGTTCTGGTCCCCCTGAAAGGCGATTCCTTTGCGCTTTCTGAGCTACTTCTTGAGGCCCAACTATACGAAGTCCTAGTGCGGTGACCAACGAAAGCTCTTCTCCTGATTTCCAGGTTCGAAGCTCTTGTAACGACACCACTATGAGATATTTGTTATCAGTTGTTGGCCGAGCACTCCCTGGCTAGGTGTCACACCTCAATCTTAGCGCCAATCCTACGACATGTCCTGTGGTAGAAAGGACAGAAGAGCAGTTGTACCTGCATGTTGACTTTGTTACTGGATGATTGCTGTGAATATTGGCTAACGTGGTTTGATGAATTAGCTTCCTCGTCTTCTGGAACATCTGCGAACTCTCCGGGAACCACGTCAACGACCTCTGTCAATCAAGTCACGACATCAAATTCTCCATCTTCTTCGCCTCCAGCATCGAGCTCCGCAACTTCTACAGGTGCTGCAACAACGACTACAGGTGCCACAGGCTCTACCACGACCAATGCGGCCAGTTCGAGCTCGGGCAGCACCGCATCCTCGAGTGCCAACTCGGGCCCAACTACCTCGAGCACAAGCTCGACAGCTTCTACCTCGGCTGTGGGGACATCTACTACAACAACAAGCAGCACCGGGACGAGTTCTTCTTCCACGGGCTCGACAACGTCAAGTACTTTCAGCACTACGAGTGGTGCTGGTACAGGCTTGACGAGCTCGACTACCGGCACGGCCTCAGGCTCTGCCAGTACGGGATCCACCGGATCAGCAACCTCCAGCGTTACCACGTCGACCGTGACGAGCTCGACGGGACAAATTAGTACTTCTACTCCCTTTTCTACAACTGCCTCTAGTGTATCGTCGTTTTCCACTTCTACCTCAGGCTTACTGACTTCAATTTCTGTAGCATCCTCGTCGACGACATCCGTCGCGCCGTCCTCGGCACCATCCACGACTACTGCGCAAGCCACGACAGTTTTGACCACGACTACATTGTCGCCGCCCTCCACAGCCAGTAGCTCAACTGCCCCAGCTACGACCACTACTCCCGCGGCCAGTAGCAGTAGTTCCGGAGGCAGCCCAACCAGTGTCACGACCACCTACGCCCCACCACCACCTCCGAACTACTCAGCTCTAGCTGTGCCAGTCGCACTCAGTTCCGTCGCGCAGGCAGCTGTGGGCACCTTGTGCTCTGGAGTCAATGTCAGTCCGGCGGTTAGCCAGCCACTGCCCGTGACCACTGGTGCCTATAACTACCAAAAGGTGCAGCTGAACAGCTACCCAAGTGTTTATGAGGTCGAATGCTGGATGAATGCCGGCAGCACGGGTGGAACGGTTACTAACATGCCCGGGCAATACTTCTCTCTTGAGAGCTGTATGGACGCCTGCTCGGCCGCTGGACCTGGGTCGTGTCTTGTTGCTTACTGGGCCTCGACCACCAGGATCTGCTCCCTTTACAGCAGGGTCAACAATGGTGGCTCACCTAGCTTGGCTGGTGGACAGTCCCCAGCCAAGATTGTGGGCAGTGGCGTTCGAACCGCAAGACTCCTCACTGGTCAACCAGTGCCGAATGTGGTGGACGCAACCTATCTCCTGGCTCCTGGTGCTGACTTGGGTCTTTGCATCAACAACAACTACCACTTGACCTTTATCGGGGTGTACTACAACGGCGCCAGTGGGACAGGGCCTGCCACGATCAACGTGAACCGCGACAACATCTGGTACGCGTCTTGCGGAGCCTCATTCCAAAATGCTCAATCGGGGGTCCAAATTACGCCAGTTTATTCCATCGCGACACCGCTTTTCGGTTTTACTTCTGCTCCAACGACGCCGGACGACTGCGCCCGAGTCTGTCAATCCTATCACAGCGCCTTCCTGCTCGCGGGTAACACCGGGATTGACTGCAACCTGTGGCAGTTCGTCCCTGCAGCCAGCGTCCAATGTCAGCTATATCCCTCCAATGCCGGCGTTGTATCTGGCTCGAACCCGGCCACGCTGAGAGACGGACAAAACAATAACATCTTCGCCGCTGGGCTTCTTCGGGGCAATTCAGGGACGGAATTCTCGTCGCAGGCGCAATACAAGAAGCGATCCCTCGCTGGGCGTATGGAGTATAATCGGCGACATGCTCGGGATTCTCTGATCGACGATGGAAGTATCCCGGATGTCATCCTCAAGCTCGACAGGAGGACCGGGAACTGGACCGAAGTCTTGTGATGGAAGTTTGAGTCGGAGCACACGTGTTGCTGGTGGTAGAGGGGGAGCCCAGGCGGTGATTTGGGCAATAAGCGGTGATTTGGGCATTTTGTGGTGATTTGGGCACTTGTGGGATGGGGATCAAACCATGTACGAGGCTACTTGTACTTTTCGTTCTGTGGGGATTCTCTAGAGGTTCTGGCTGAATGGAAACACTAGCAAGGAATCCATTCTTTGGGGCTTGATAGGGGATGCTCGTTCTAATACATTTTGTGATTTGACTGCAGGAAATATCGTGTTGGTTGTTATGGCTATACCGACTTGTAGACTTGTTCATCGAATCCCTGGCTCTTGGCCACATAACTTTTCAGTCCTTGAATATTCGCCTATTGTGAACTTCCAACGGGTCGATGAGCGGCCCTCTAACCGAGATGAATTTATGCTTTTTGGCATTAATGGTTCGTATTCGTGATCGTATTCGTCGAAACCCATGAATCCCAAGCCCGACCCGCATTTAATGCGCATGCGGACAAGTCACGATCGTCTCTCACTTGTACTTTTTCTGGGCAGCCAGGCAGCATCTTGCCATATCATACTCTCCTATTCTTCTCCCCACCATGAATGAACTCTTCTCTTCCCTCTGACAACATCTGTAATCACCACTGACTGAGATTCCCAGGTGGAGAAAAGACACCTCGAGACAGACTGTTCCGAGTTCGAGGCAGATTCGAGGCAGACTCTGTACCGAACAGACACTTGCAAACCACGGCTTTCCTACTGGGTCAACCAAACTCATCCCTGTACCAACACACATGGGTCGACGTCCTCACGCCCCTCACCCTGTGTTTTGAACCAACGAAATTGCCATGGCTCCTTTGTACGAGTAAGCTTTGATTGTGGGGTTGAGAGGACCTTACTCCTATCCTTACTGTTAGTTGCCATTATCATATCGAACTGGAACAGTTAAAAAGGACTTCGACGCCGGCCGGAGCAGCAGCAGGAGGAGGACTTGAATCTAACACATTGCGATATTGACAATGAGCACCATAGACGAGCAGGCGCCCGTCGCCGATACCAAAGTCGCCCGTACGCTGGTTGCCGAAGACACTGCCATCACGGTCAAGACGGATGAAAAGAAGCCTGAAAAGACGGAGCGACCTCCTTTCTCGAACTACTGGGTGTGTGTCGTCGCTGGTTTCCTGGGTTTGCAAGAGTCTACTGACGCTGCTTAGCGAATACTGTCTTTCCGCACGAGAAGAGATGGAGCTGCGCTGTGTATCAGTTGTCTATGTGCCGTTGGGTCCGGCACGGTAAGTGGTCTTGATCATCTTCGCATTCCAGGTCTGATGCATTGCCAGGCACTTCCGCTCATGAACATCGTCTTTGGAGATCTGGTCAAAGATTTCAACGGCTATTTCTTACCGAATTCGACGGTGACCGAGGGTCAATTCAAATCAGCCATCAACAAGAACTCGTACGTTTTGAGGGCTGGTTACCTCAAAAAGATGCATATGCTGATCATGGCAGCCTATACCTTGTCTATTTGTTCATTGGCAGGTTTGTGTTGACATATATATCGACGGTGAGCCCTCTGAAGAGACCACTTCTGTATGCTGGTGTCGGTGCCCCGTTACTGACAGTCACAGTTCTGTTTCCGCATCACCGGCCTACGTATCTCTGCCAGACTGCGACTTTCCTACCTCCAGTCGCTCTTCGCCCAGCCCATCAAGAAGCTCGACGAAGTCTCGGCCGGCACCGTCGCCAACACCATCACAGCTTCGTCCAATGTCATCCAAGTCAGTATCTCGGATAAACTCCACTCACTGTTCATGGCTGTGGCTTTGATTATTGCAGCCTATGCCATTGCTTTTCGATACTCGCCACTTCTCACGCTCGTCGCAAGCTCCTCCATGGTCTTCGTCGTCATCGTCTACAGCATTACAACCCCTTTCTTGATCAAGAAAGTGGCCGAGGTCGAAAAGGCGGATGCAAAAGCTGCTTCAATAGCCGGGGAAGTCTTTAGTTCCATTCGCGCCGTTTTCGCGCTGGGCGCAGAAAAGACCTTGACCAAGAGATACGATGCAGCCGTCGACGAGTCGCGTAGGTGCGGGCTCGCCACGTCACCGCTGTTTGGCCTACAGGTAGCCCCTGGCTTTTTCGCCATGTACGCGAGCTTTGCGCTGTCCTTCTGGTTCGGACTGAAGCAATTTCGGGAAGGCCATATTGACAACATTGGCACTGTCGTCACGTATGTCCTCCTGCCATCACATTCAGCCGCTGCTAAATAACCTAACAGGGTGTTCTTTTCGGTCATGATCGTAATGGCTCTGTTGGGAGTCCTAGCCACGCCAATCATGGCTATCACGAAGGCAATCGGCTCCTCGACCGAGTTCTTCTCCATGATTGATGCGCCCAGAGTCTCGTATGAGGGTGTTGCTGAACCCGACGTGTCGGCACACAACGACATCGAATTCGACAACGTCAACTTTGCCTATCCCAGTCGTCCCAAAGTCCAGGTCTTGAAAGGGTTCAATGCTCTCTTTAGGAAGGGTAAGACAACTGCTTTGGTAGGCCCTTCAGGATCGGGAAAGAGCACTATCGTGGCTTTGCTGGAACGTTGGTATGAGCTGGATGGAGATGATCTTGAAAAGAACGAAGCCACACCTGCCGCCGAGACGACGGAGAAGGACGAGGAGCGACCGCCCAAAAACGAGGGCTTGATCTCGATTGGTGGCCAAGATATCAAGGGCACCCGTCTGAAGTGGTGGAGATCACAGATCGGCCTGGTCCAACAAGAACCGTTCTTGTTCAACGACACCGTCTTCAAGAACGTTGCGTGCGGGCTGAATGGGACGGCGTGGGAGAAGGATGACGATGCAGCCAAGCAGAAGAGAGTCGAGAAGGCCTGTCAAGAAGCCTTTGCGGACGAGTTCATCCGTCAACTCCCAGACGTGAGTGTTTTTTTACAATTATGCTTGTTGGCCACAAAACTGACGCAGGGGTAAGGGCTATCAAACACGAGTCGGGGAGAGCGGTATCAAGTTGAGTGGCGGACAACGGCAGCGCCTTGCCATCGCCCGCAGCATCATCCGCGAGCCTGCGATCTTGATCCTGGACGAGGCCACGAGTTCGATCGACGTGCGCGGCGAGCGGATCGTGCAGAAAGCCCTGGACCAGGTGTCCAAGAACCGGACGACGATCGTGATTGCTCACCGCCTCTCCACTATCCGCAAGGCCGACAACATCATCGTCATGCGCGACGGACGGAAGATGGAGGAGGGTACACACCACGACCTCGTCGCGATCCCCGACGGAATCTACGCCGGTCTCGTGCACGCACAACAGCTCGAGGCCGAGACAGCCCCTCCGACAAACGATGCCATTGAGGCATCCGAAATGGAACAGCTCGAGAGGAAGGACACGGCTGCCTCGGCCAAGCCGCAGGGAGAGAGTACTGCAGGCTACAAAAACAGGGGTTTCGTCATGTCCGTCGGCCGAATCTTGTACGAGCAGCAGAAATATTGGGGTATTTATGTTTTGGTTGTGATTTCAGCCATGGGGGCAGGCTGTAAGTTGTCGAGCTATCCCATTGACACACGGATACTAGTGGCAGGGAGAGGCTAACGAACATGAAACAGCGGCCTTCTCACTTCAAAGCTGGATCTTCGCCCAGCTGATGGAGGTCTTTACCTTTACGGGCCAAAAGTTGAAGGACAGAGGTGACTTTTGGTCCTTGATGTTCTTCATCCTCGCTTTAGGAATGCTAGTGGCCTATGCCACCCTTGGGTTTTTCTCCAGCCATATCTCCGTGGTAAGTCAGGGGGCTGTTCAACTTGTGCAGAAAGAGAGTTCATGGCTTGCGGGGATGCTAACGAACCAACGCAGCTTGTATCGTCCGTCTATCGGCGCGAACACTTTGCAAATCTCCTCCGGAATCCTGTCTCGTACTTTGACGCTGAAGGCAACGCCTCGGGATCACTCATGGCCCGTCTGGCCACCGACTTCAAGCTCCTCGCCGAAGTGTTCGGCCTCAACGGCGCTTTCCCCTTGGTGTCCTTGTTCAACATGGCCGGCTGTGTCATTATCTCCTTCTACTTTGGCTGGAAGTTGACCTTGGTGACGTTCTTCTCGGCCATGCCCGTCGTCATAGTCGCCGCCTTTATCCGGGTCAAATACGAGGTCCAGTTCGAGGAGTGGAACGCAAAGGTCTTTGCGCACAGCTCGCAATTTGCGACGGAAGCGGTTGGCGCCTTTCGGACCGTTACCTCGTTGACCATGGAAGACTCGATCCTCAACAAATACTCTGATCTCCTGCAGGAGCAGATTCGAGACGCGACTCGCCGAGCGACCCATGGCTGTATTGTCTTTGCCCTGTCGGACAGTATCGAGCTCTGTGCTATGGCCCTGACTTTCTGGTGAGACTTATTTTCCTACGTTTGTTCTACAAAGAGACGGATTGGCTGACAAAGATCCTTTTCTTTCTAGGTACGGCGGACAACTTTTGGCTTCGCGTGAATACAACATCATCCAGTTCTTCCTCATCTACTCGGCAATCGTGCAAGGCGCACAAGGAACTGGCCAGTTCTTGAGTATCTCGCCCAACGTTGCGAAAGCCACCGGGGCAGCCAATCGTATTCTGGGATCTCGATACATTGGGGACGAAGATACCAAAATGTATGGCGTGGGGACGCCGTTGCCACCGAGCGAAAAGAGGACAGGAGCCAACGTCGAGTTCAAGGACGTCGGCTTCAAGTACCCTACCCGGGAAACCCCCATCTACCGCAACCTCAATCTGTCGATCGAGAGCGGGCAGTTCGTGGCCTTTGTGGGTCCATCAGGCTGTGGTAAGACCACAGTGATCTCGCTGCTGGAGCGATTTTACGAGCCCGTCTCGGGCACCATCACCTTCAACGACCGCAACCTCAGAGACATTGAGATGGTGTCGTACCGCCGCGCGCTGTCGCTGGTGGCGCAAGAACCTAAGCTCTTTGACGGCACGATCCGCGAGAACCTGGTGCTGGGCCTCGAGGGCGAAGAGGTCGCGGAAGAAGACATCGTGCGCGCCTGCAAGGACGCCGAGATCTACGACTTCATCATCTCGCTGCCCGACGGCTTCGGCACGCCGCTGGGGATCAACACGCAGACGTCGCTGAGCGGCGGGCAGAAGCAGCGGCTGTGTCTGGCACGTGCGCTGCTGCGCAAGCCGTCGCTGTTGCTCCTCGACGAAGCCACGTCCAGCCTCGACTCGCAGTCGGAGAAGCTCGTGCAGGGCGCGATCGAGCGGCTGGTGGGACAGCGCAGCATGACTGTCATCGCAGTGGCACACCGTCTGGCGACGGTACAAAAGGCCGATGTGATTTTTGTGTTTGGCGAGAGCGAGGCCGGCCGGGGCTCGAGGATCTTAGAACGCGGGACGCACAAGGAGCTGTTGAGCCGGCGGGGCGCGTACTGGCAGATGGTAAGTTTTCTCTGTCTTATTTTTCTCCCAACACTGTGTTCTTTTTGTTAGAGGTTTATGATCCGCTAACGAGATGGGGACATTGTCCCCGTGTTATTGCAGTGCCAGGAACAAGCTCTCGATCGATGACCATAAAAAAAAAAGAGGAGGAGACGATGAAGAACCTGGCAGGCACGGAAAGGGGACATGGGCAGAGCGGGGTTTTATTTCTCTTGCCCTTGGGATATACATATATACACACCCCATCCGTCCCTTTCTGGTTGCCGGACAGCCTCATGACGTGGTGGGCGAATGTGCACCCACTCGTGCTTGGTGCTGTTGGTGCGCTGGACCCATTACCTGTACAGATATATAAAAACCACTCACTCAGTCCGTACCAAATACCAGATCCCAAATCCCAATACCAACGACTAACGACAAATGACAAACGACACAAAGTTAAATATATTTCCCTCCCACATCTTTGAAAGCGGCGGGGATTTTATCCTAGGTGCCTGCTTTGTACTTTGTACCAGAGTACATACATACATACATACATGCACCTCGTACCTCATACCTCACACCTCGTACAGTCTCCTCCTTTTCGTTTCAATTTGACGCCAACGACCCTGCCTACCTATTATCTACTTGGGAGCACCGAGTCACCGAGTATAGGACGTCTGTCCCCACTCATTGGTTCCTCGCTGGTACTGATATTGGTGGACACTGGGCAGGGGTACCGGTCCCACGGGATACTGGTGAATGGGTACGGCACAGCGGGGTACGGAGTTTATGTGCGAGGTACCTCGTACGAGGTGTTACTCCGCAGAAGTTACGTGGCGAGGTACCTAACCTATGTAGGTGTGCCTGTACCTGTTGGGTGCCTGTGTGTGGGGTTGGGACTGGTCTATTCGTCTACAGTACCTTCTAGCCTTCTAGTCTTGGATAATGCCATCAGGTACTTTGGGTTGTAGAATAGAAAAACGAAGAGGCAGGGAATCGATCGACCGGCGAGCAAGTGAGAGAGGCATGCCTGTCCATCATCACCTGTACCTCTCGAAAGTAGCCCCTCGCTGTACCGTCCTCCCGTCGCACTGCTATCCGTTTATCCATCCATCCAAGAGAACCGAGCACAACACCCAATCAACCCAAACCAAACAGAATCATCCATCCATTCAACGAGCCACTGACCAAACCCCGCCACGTCCAGCTCTCCCTCGTCCAGCTCTTGCATCCTCTGTCGTGTTTCTTCCACCCCGAGACGAGACAAGACAGGACAAATCGAGGCCATTTTCACCAAGTGAGAGAACCTACGGTGATAGTATACCGCGTTGCGCGGAGGTCAAATGACTCGCGTGGGGGTGCGTCTCTGACTCTGCTCATGCGACACGCCGAGATCCAGCTCGCACAAGTACACGATCGTGGTGTGTATTGTGAGTGAGCGACTGAGTGAGCGAGTTGTGCGTTGTGTTTGGAAGAATACGGGCCCGCTGACACTGCGTTGCGCTGCGCTGCGCTCCCCCCCCTCACCCCCAAATAACCAACCCCCACGAAATCTGCATTGCCGCCTTTTGCGATCGTATCTCGACAAGGATCACCGAGATACGGACAAGTAGTACCGCGTCGCGTATGGTAGTTCAGATTCGGTTTCCTCTCCACTCCATAATCGCATGTATAGCGTGGCCGGCTGGTGGGGCTGGAAATCGAGTCTCGTGCGAGGCGCTCGTATACCTTGTGTGTCAGGGCCACGGGGCCCGCGAGGTTCGTTATCGTCCAAAAGTTCGGCGCTGATATCCTAACACTAGCGCGAGGAAAGGGCTGCACCCAGGCCTCAGGACTTGCGCGCCTCTTGCTCGTCCAGATAAGATGGTAATCAAGTCAGCTTACCCTGCCCAGTGCCGCGCCCACGCATATGCTGCATCGGGATGAGCCGACGTTCTTTCTGGCACAGAATCAAAATATCCTCCCACACACCCCTTCTACCTTCTCGACCCATGTCTCGAATTTGTCGGTCGCGTAAGAGACAGTCAGTCAGTCAGTCAGTCAGTCAGTCGACTTTGGCCGACCCGCTCAGCTAGTGCCTGCCCGTCGAAGCAGCAGAGCCAAGGACTCGTTTCTCGCCGGGGAAAATGTTTTGCCTGAAGGTTTTTTTTTTGTAGACTGCGTTGGAGAGGCTGGACTGCAGCCTTGCGACAATCGTGGTACTGCAAAAATCCCGAATTATGGATCTTTCGGGAAGCTTTGGTCCTCAGAAGACATCCCGGGAGAGAATATCGCTGAGCGGCTGAGTTGCTCGGCGCGCGGTGCGGTGGGTGTAGATGCGCAGGTTGCACACAAAACGCACTGAGAATATGTACCGCTGGGCCAAGTCGAGTGATTGCGAGAAGTGGTACTTTCCGTCTTCCACGTGTAGGTGAGAGGCGTCGCATTGAATTCGTGTTTCCTTGGTGTCGTGTCATCGAAAGTAAGCCGGTGGCGGTGTCCTCGTCGCGTTACGCTGTCCTTGCTGCCGCTGCGCCGTGCTCACACCCAGCGGTCCGAGGAGTTCACTGTGACCGTCCTCCCCCTCCTCAGACTCCCAGCCCGAGGCAATCTCCGAGACGCCCACGACGACTTGGTTCTTCGCTGCATCGTCGGCTTTCGACCCGTAGGCGGCGACCGAGAGCGGAATGTTGGTGTGGAGAGAGTACTTGGGCGCGCCGTGGCCACCGTGGAACGTCAGGCAGAGATCCAGAGCATAGGTCCTCGCGAGATACATCCAGTCCAGAGATGGCTGGGAGATGGCATCCGGCACGGAGAGGTCGAGTTGAGACGTCGCAACGTACGGCTCGGCGGGGGTTTTCTTCGCCTTCTGAGTGCGACGCGAGTCGTCGTACTGCGGTAGCGGGCGAAATAGGATGGTCGACTTCTGCGTCGACGCCGTCGTCACTTTGTAAATGACCTCGCCCGCTCTCACCTTTGCAGAAGACGGGCGACCCGGTGTCGTGGAGAAGCGCGTCTTCACCTCCCACTTGGCTTCGACCGAGCATTTCAGGGATTGACGACCGTCTATTCCAAAATTCTCGGATGCGTCCCTGGCCACGCTGAGGGGCACGCTGATGTGTCGCTTCCCAGTCTCTGGGTTCCGTCGCATCGTCATGTCCGCTTCGGACAAGGTGAGTGACAGGTCCGGGATTTTGTGAAACCGACAGCGCGCCAGGATGTCGGGTTTCGCACGGTGGGTCAGAGGGATCCCTCTCGCCGGCGCCGCCCGTAGATGAGGGTAGAGAGATGGGATTTGGGTGTGCTGGGTCAAGAAACCGATCTGCCTCCCGGAAAGGCGAAACGTGACCTCAACCCAGTAAGACACTTCACAACTCCCATGTTCGACCCGTAGATCGTTCAGCGCCGTGCTCTGGGTAATTGTGGTGGTGCCTGTGAACGTGCCCGTCAGGGGAAGAGAGCGGAAGACGCCATCCCTGCAGGAAATCCTGGTGGGCAGTTCAAAGTAAAAGTCCAAATGGCGACTTTTGCGCGTATCGGTCTCGCTGGTACACGTGGCTGGTTTGAAATCCGACACCGCCTTGACATCGGTGAGGGTGATGATGTCCTCAATCGCATGCTTGTAACCCACCGAAGATGTGATAACACCTGGTATCATGTCAGACTCTCTTCCAAGGCCTCGTGGTGTCAATATTACCTCGCAAACACAGTTGCACCGTGTCAAACATGTGCTGTCTTATAGAGTCGTCTAGGACACTAAGCCGGCCGTTGATTCGAGACGGGGCTCCATTGCACGCGGCATCGTTGCCGTTGTCGCAAAAAGGAGACACAGCCTTGCCCGTCTCAGGCTTCCCAACCTGTAAACGAGCATAGATCATGGTGGTGTCTTCAGGTCGCTGTAAACGACACCGCTCTAGATGCGACAGAGTCTTTATGAGAGACTGGGAAATCCGGGGAGTAGAAAACTTGCCCGGGGCATATATGACTTTCCCCCTTACTCTATTGACCTGAAGAGGGAAGGCGAACCATGGACGCCATGGTTGGGTGGGTCAGCTAGCCCATATCTTTTTTGACTTCCCACGGAATTTCGGGCTAACCAGGACACAGACCAGTAGGGTGTGGTGTTCACCGGCCTTATCACACGAATTGTAGGGACAGCTGAACCGAATCCCGAAGCGCCATGTGCCATGCCTTTGGGATCACCATGGCAGGGTCCAATTAGTCACTTTGGGAGTCCCAAGAAAACAGTTTGGCGGAAATAGAAGAAAACTTGACATTTCTCTAGTGAGTTACGCGAGGGCCGAGGAACCGAGTCATCGTTTGTTCATGTTTGAAAAGAAAGCGCTGCCGCCGACTTCGGATCGCTTGGTTCTCGACCCTGAGACTTCTTGTGTAGTTCCAAACCCACCACTCCTGTACGAAGGGCTGCAAAGGGAAAGTTGCTGTACAGTCCAGAAGAGATGAGCCCATTCCGGTCCTTGTGCAAGTGGTAGCCGTTTGCCGGATTCCGTAGGTGTGCCGGTTGCCAACGGCTATAGGCGATGATTTCCCGGGCTCGGGAGAGGCTAGATGGTTAGCTGGTTCTTCTCAATTATAAGCTCCCGATGGTCTGCCTCGAATTCAAAGACACAACGCGGTTAATAATACGCGGCTTGTTCTCGTCCTCGAAGATCAAGTCAGCAGGACGGCACCTTTGCCCACGATTGGTGGTTTTGGTTGATAGTCCGGAGGATCGCGAAAGGGACTTAGCAGTTCAGGAAGGAGAGAAGAATCCAACTGGCTATTTTGTTGGTCTCAGCAGGTCGAGAACCACTAGGTCTTAGGCTCCCCTCAGTGCTTCACGGATCTGGGAGACACAGGGAAAGAAACCAAAGTCCTGGCCAGCTAGTGGGGGTTTTCTTCTTGGGCGGTGGCTCTGGTGGCTGAGTGGGGGAAGATGATACTTCCCGGGGAGGAGTTCAGTCTTCCCTGCCCTCGACGATTGGCCAAGCGAGGGTCGTTAGGCTGTAATGGGCCCAGAGACTTGTTTCCTGGCCTTTGCGGCTAGTTTCGCTGAGAAACCTGGGGGAGGGCCATGCATTGCTGTTGCGCAGGCGAATTGGTGAGGGCCACCTTGTACTTGTAGCCACAGTATCCACTGGCTAGGACTAGAATAAATGCTGGCGAGGCCTAGACGTTGTCTTTCGCGTGGATTCGGTGGCTATTCGTGGTTAGGAAAACAAGTCCCCACGGGAGCAGCTCGTTGCGGTTTGGGCCTCCCACATGGTTTGGGATCCAAGATTTGCTTCAGAACGATGCTGATTGCTCAGAAACCCAAAGAGTCGCCATTGATTTCGTCCATTGAAAATTCCCTAGCGTATTTGTCTAGGTCGGAAACTCGCCCTGACCACTCGGGGAATGCCGAGTACTGTGTTGCGCTCTTTCTACCAAGCCTCGTCTGGGGTAATTCGTCTGTAGTTCCAATTCTGTTCCCGAGGTCAGTCTTCTTACAACCTCGGATCAGGTACTCTTGGGTCATATTGGTGTGCATCGACCACTTCCCCACTCGTAGCAAAGCCCAAAGTAGAGAGAAATGGACGAGTCGTCCTGTTCCTGGAGTGAAGTCTATTAGTGAGATGGAAAAGTCCACTCGGAGAACCGCCATTATTTGTCGGTGCTCTCTCACTGACTGGTGTTTCGGATCATTCTCTGTGAATCGAGGCCTACCCTGTGCTGGTTGATGACTGCAAGGCTGCCAACCAAGGGTCCACCAGGCTGAAGGATTGGACGCCTTTGAGGCACTCCTGATCGATGCCACAGGCACAATCCCTGGTGCTTCGTTCACCAGTCCTTTCATGACGACTGTCCGAATTTGGTTGCGGGTGTTAACATTCAGTCCACAGGCGGTTCACTTCCGGGCCTCCATTCCTCGAGAAATGCTTTCGTGGCCGCTGCTGCTGTGGCGGCGGCATACATCTGCCACTTCTTATTTTTATGGCTGTCGGCATAGTCGCACACGGCCTTGATGACGAGGCTAGGGAAGAAGTCCCAGATTCCCGCGCCCTCCATCTCAAATCCGAGAACGTCGTACTTTAGCGCAACTTTCTCTCGGTGACGGCCGGATTTCATCACCGTGTCCCCCGACCCCATGATGCCTATGTGGATGGCTGGCCGGTACGAGCTTCTTTCTCCTGCCGTACGGCCAGGTTGAGTGCCACTCTGGGAACGTGTGCGCTGAACGATACCCTTGCTGTAACATCCCAAATCTTCGCAGCTGCTCTTGATGGCGGCGCGACAAATGCCATCGGGTTCCGCCCACTGACAGGTCTGACAGTTTCCAGCCCCATGGTGTCGATGCAGTGAAGAGCACGCAAATAGTGTGTCTGCCTCCGCTCCAGGATATGCCACCCTTTCATCTCTGGCCTGAAGGGCTTCCAGAAGGCGATTCATCTTGCGCTCTAATCGTCGTCGATGATGTGATGTCTCCAGTTTGGCGAGAAGCGACCGAATCTCCACAGGAGGCTTCCCTGATCCTCCTTCCAGACAGTCCTTACATTCAAAACCCGTTGGGTACTGCCTGCCAAAATCGTACTGGATGAGCGATCGACTGATAATGACATCTCCCAAAAAGATTTCTCGCTTGCTATGATGACGATAGTATGGCACCCCTCCGCAGATACCCACGACTAATACAAGCTGAATATTGCAAAAGCTCGATTCCAAACCCCAGGCGACACTGGCCGCACTGACTTTCCCCGTAGAGGGCATATGAACGACGACGACATTATGATGACCTATTCGGCCGATGGTGTAGGCATTGGGGTCCTTCAACGCCTTGCCATATCTGTGGTCGTCATCGTCCCAGTGTTGGTCGAACAAAGAAATGATGCAGTCTGCTTCAATAGTCAAAGCACAGATAATACCAATTCCAAAGTCTTGACGCGTGCGCGGGCGGGATTGAGTCGAAGAGCGGACACTGACATCGGCCGGAAATATTGTCTCGGCTACAGTCTGAGACTGAGCACCTATTCCGTTCGACTCTGGTTGCATTGTGTTATTATGCCTGGGGCCGTTAGCGTTCCCTGCCAGCAATGCATCAGCGGCTAAAATTGGCTTTGCCATCAGCGGCTTCACCGATCCAATCGTCCAGATATCATGTATCCAGCCCGTTCCAATAAGTAGGTCTTCCAATGGCCTAACAACGTCTTCGAGGATCATCAAACGCGTATCTTCAACGTCGACAAGCGAAATGCCAGATGAGGGACCTTCGATGATGAATTGATTGCTGACACAATTCCGCACAGCTTCCCAGTAGTTCCTGTAGTCGAAAGTATCCCATGGCATCCCTCGGGACAAGAATTCTTGTGCTGATAGCCATTCCGAGTTGATGTTAACTTCATCATTTCGCGAAAGATCTCTGGCGCGTATGCCGGTGGCTATCTCGATCAATAACCACCCAAGAGCCAGGATCTTGGGGTACTGGTGAACTTGACCAATAATGCCGCTATAGTCGTTCTGGTGACCGTCGCTTTCCTCCAGCTGTACTGCTAAGTAAGGTTTGTTGACAAAAATCACGGGCGTCGAACGGTCAATTCCTGGCTGCTCTTGCAGAAAATGTATGTCATCGGCACTCCATGGTCTTGACATCCAATCAGAATTATAGAATTCCCAGACGGATATCGCAATGATGTATGCGAGAATGACCTTCATCTTGTCGGATAGGCGTCCAGTTTCTAGTGTCTCCGACAGAGACAGTGATGGGGAAGCAGTGACATGCGCTTCCAGTGGCAAGCGATTGTAAAGTAACCAGAGATAGTTCCTGTGCACTTGTAGACATATCTGATAGTCATTTGGCGAGATCATGTAACTGCACAGTCGTGGTTCTACGGTGTGATGATGCAGTGATGCGTCTCGACTCGAAATACCAGCACCTTCCCTACCCAGTCTTTCACTAGACTAAGATTAGAGGCTGGAATATTCTTCGTCTGTTGAACGATTTGGCTTACCTGGGGACTTGGAACTGCATATGTTGCCAGTCTATCCGTTTGAGAGTCGACGAGAGCACTGGTCGGGAGGAAAAGACCATGTCATAACGAATGAATGTCTCGTTGGAATTGCGGGACGGCCTCAGCCGCAACCTAGACAAATGCCTTCTGTTTTGTGGGACGGCGTCCGCAGACTCACTAGTTTCGACAACACACTCGCATCTGGAATGCTCTCGAAGCATTTGATAAAGCTGCTGTCTGACGTGCTTTGGGTAATCTTCTTGCATAGTAAGCTGCCCGGGACGGCGACCAAAAAAGGACTGCCTCGAGTCTTGCGCTGTTGCCGACGGGGGCTGGTGACCAGCGAAGCCTTTCACAAGAGCAATGAGCTTGGGCAATTTTCCTGCAGAAGCATACGCCAGTAGCCCTGCCTCCAGATCAGCTTCCACTCTGCTGGACGACGGGGATCGCTCCGAGAGGCGCAATAAAAAGATGAAGTCTTCACTGGGCTCTTTACGATGCCACTATCGATAAGGGTTAGAGACTCTCAAGTGACCAGGGATTGGGGTTCATAGACAGTGCAGGCTCGCGCAAGCGCTCTAAGAAGCTTCCTGACCCTCCTCTTGAACTTCTCCCCCTGTAATGTGCTCTCGGGTCTCTGGGTGATCTCGGAAAGCGCCGCCAACTCTCCTCCAAGATTCCCCAAGCCTTGGTGCAGCCTCTTGATGCCGACCATGGTGGATACGCGTGCTATGGCGAGTAGAGTGCCTGGCGCAGACTCGAGGAGATCGAGATCATCGATATCGTTGTCGGCCATGGCGAATGACGCGCTGCAACCGAGAGGGAGATGAGCATGAAAAATGGAGAAGGACGACAGATCGTTCATCGTCAGTTCAGCCTGATTGCAGGCACCTTTCAACTCTTGATGTGCATCCATCAACCCCGCACTGACCCAGCCTGCGCTTTCAGCCTCACTTTGACTTGAACGCCTTTGACCTTCTCTTCCACCTACATAATTCTATATTCCCGCCAATATCATCCAATTGAAAAAGTCCGAGAGCTCCTTAAAATCTGGACACTGCTAAATGAGCGACAAGGAGCTGGAAAGTCCTGCCGGTGTCCAGAATGTCTCCGTCCTGACGCAAAAATGTGATGGCTTGCTAGAAGAATGCCTGCACAATCGGCTGCTCATGGAGCACGAGTGGGCCGAGAACAAACTTGCGGCTTTCAGACTCTGGGTCTCAGAAACTGGCGCGGGCATGGCCGAGATGTACGAGTCGTCTCTGGGGGACAGGCTTAGCCAAAAGCCAACCCTTCTCAATGTCTTCGCAGACCTTCTACGATTGTTGGGCGTCTTCATCAGAGAGTGCCAGACCACGAGTCTCACTACCCATGGGGCTGAGTTGGAGCAATACTTCAGTTGGGCAGCACAAAAATTCCAAACTCAAGGCCCGATTCGGACCCAGAGGGGCAGATCATCAGGAACGCACCGTGCTTCCAGCCGCCGGACCTCGAGGTCAATATCTCCATGGTCTGACCAGTCCAGTTTTGCTTCAGATTCTGACGGTATAGAGCGACTGAATAACGGACGTCTTGCTGAAGCGATGCAGAGCGTTGAGTCTATCCTTGACCAATTGAAGAATGTCAGCCTTGCAGTGCGTCGGACGGGACATCAACTCCGCCTTCAGAAGGCTGATTCGGTATTCAATGCTTCAGAACATTCTGCTCTCGAAAGTTTTCTCATTTTCTGGGTCTTGGTTCGGACAAGCAAAGGTCCTTCTACTTCCCCTCGGACCCTGGGTGGTAATGAGTTAACTCCTGTTCAACGACGCTTGATCAATGCTAATCTCAGGAGGCGAAACCGCTTTCTTTACGCCCAGAAGCATTCGCGAAAGGCGGCGAACTCTTCTGCAGTCGAAATGACGGTGGACGCAAAACCGAATGACATTACTTCAGCCGAGAAAGACCTCTCCACCGCCACCGTACCGAAAACGTCCAACGACAGTTCAATGGCAACGAAGTTTGAAGCCAGTACAGGGTTTTTTGATGAAAACCTTCCGGCACCGTTTTCCCAGATCTCTTCGACTACCTCGCGAGTACGATACCCTTACCCGCCGAAAATATCATCGAATGTCAAATATTTCAAGTGTCCTTGTTGTTGTCAGACTTTGAACCGTGCATATTTGTTCGGGAACCGGTGGAAGAGACATCTCGCCGAGGACCTATGCCCGTATACATGTATTTACGACCAGTGTCCTACACCGGAGGCTACTTTTGCTACCCATCAAGCTTGGATGTCTCATATGACTGGGGCAGAGCACCCAGATGGAAAGTCTTGGACCTGTTTGATGTGCGCCGATGGTGTACTATATGGGGACTGCTCAATTCTTTCTGGCCACATCAAGCAAAAACACTCTGATTCAATCGCCACCCATCAAATTCCAACGGTTCTCGAAACATCCATGTCGCCAGCCACCACCACATTGTCGTGTCCACTGTGCAGACCGACCGTCGAGGCCGGTACACGAACAGCTCGAACGAGCTGGAGACATATTGCTGAGCACATACATGATTTTGCCCTACTAGCCCTTCCATGGGCTCCCGATAACCCAATTTGCCATCCTGACGCTATCGATAAAGGACGCACAAAGGTGGCATCTTGGCTAGGCTTACAAGAACCCTCGATGTCTCACACTAAATCACCGCACGATGATCGTGACAGCACCACAAATGAAGCAGGCATCTATTACACAGAGGAGGCATACTTTGCCGAGAACAGAGATTTTCGTTCAGATACGAGCACCATTTCGACGGACACCTTCCGCGATCTTCAAGGGTTTGAAAACACAAGTATATTGCCATTCCCTGAAAACCTCCCGGAAGTTGAGCAGAATCTCGAAAGCACTTCTCCTGGTCCAGTTTCTACCCTAGCAACAAGTCTATCAATGTTCATGAAGGCCAAATTATCTACCAGGCAACCCCGATCATCCTCGTTTCCCTCCAAGCGGGCATCAGATGAAACTATTTCGAGGATAGACGCTAGATACATTGCAAGGCCGCCAGCATATTATCAGCCGGGTCGCGTGTTTGCCATGCTCTGGGATGAACAAGACATTGAACCACAGAGGATGGACATTATAGCACCAGGGACAGTGAATCTGAGCGGAAACAAGGGAAGCTTGGGCAGCCAGACTTCCAGTTCTGTCCACACTATGGTGGTCGTCCAAGCGCATAGTGGTTATTGTGAGTGCGTACAAGTCAACACTTACGATCAACGAGGGTTGCTCAATTTCATTCATTCTCCCAAAGATGTCAACGCGCATGCGGTGATTTATGTGGACGGTACAGCACCTCACTTGCTATTCAAAGAACCCAGGTCGAACAAAAGGCCTATAGCCGTCAAGAAAACAAATCCTGAACAGAATCTCGCCGGATCCAGCCGCCTCCACTATGCTCGAGTGTACAACGTGCAGTATACAGCCAAAACCGTCGACATCGGCTACGTGGACGAGAGCTTACCCGATCTTCTCCGAGATTTCCAGACGATCAATGGGCTATCTGAGCATACACTGCCAAAAGAAGGGAGAAAACCATCTAGTGGACTGCTAAAAGAAGAGAGAAAACCATCTGACGAACTGCCAAGAAGAAGAGGGAAAGCCGTCTAACAGCAGGAATCTTGATGAAGTTACCCCAATTTTTCGTATTTGACCGTGCTTTGGTCTGGTTGATACAGAATTGGCCGGGCTGCAACTGAGCTGCTTGTACCTAGTAAAAGAGCCTTAGAGTCTCGTCTCTTGTACTGATGAGCGTAAGGCTGCGTGGCTCAGTGGCACGGGTAAGTGGGTGGGTAGCTAGACGGCTTTGACATTAGTCAGCTTGGCCCTGCACGTGCCATGCCAAGATCCCCAGCCTCGGCACCCCACCATTAGCCCCCACTTCATCGTCCACTCTCCGTTCACATCGAGGATGTGACGGTAACTATCTCTGGTCTAGCGCCGGAGTGTCAACCATCGAGTCCAAGTCAGATTCATGGGCCAGTAAAACATCTCATTTCTTCCATTTTCAACCCTCGTGGCAGTGATATTGCGAGTCACCGTGCGCCGACTTCAATGTTTGTGCATCTCAACCGACGAGCTACGTAGCTCCTCCGGGCACCATCATGGCCGATACCGAAGCCATTGTCCCGCAACATGAACCGCGCCGAGCATGTCAAGAGTGCAACCGCAAAAAGACAAAATGTGATATGCGTCGACCAGTTTGTGGCCTTTGCTTAAGGACGGGCAATTCTTGCACCTTCCCCTTGAAAAGGAAGAAGCCCACGCGCAAACCCCAGCTCAAAACACAATCTCGCAAGATCAGTGACAGCCTGTCCAAGTTAGTTCAGGTGCTTGACGCGGCTTCTCGGGCAGGAGAAGGGTCGGCTGAGTCAGATGGCCGACGAGGAATTCCCCAGACATTACTTCGAGATTCGCTTAAAGGTCTCCTCGCCGAGATCGATGAGACCGAGAACCGCACTACTGAGGGTCGGGACCGCGGAGCTGAGCAGAACGACCAGAATGACTCCGTCTCTGACGGGGAGGATATCGAGGAACTAGGGCCTGAAATGGACGGGGAAGATTTGCAACAATCGCCACCTCCCATCTCAACGGAACCCACCACCAAACTCTCGACGCCAACACTGCCCTCAACGTTTGGCGGCGAAATCTCTTGCTCAGTGGCCATAGATCTGATCTACGTCTTCTTCGACAAAATTCAGGCCTGGGTCCCCATCCTCCACCGGCCGCGATTTCTAGCAAAGTACGAAAAGTCCCTGTTGGTTGACGGCGACGTGATGAAAGGATTCTCAGTCGACGAATCGCTCTTATTCTATAGCATGTTTGCCATGTCGGCGAGATTCTCCAACCATCCAGTCTTTGCCGGAATTGCTCCAAACAAGCGAGGGCACGAGTTCGCCCAGCGAGCGCGCGAGTGCTACGCCAAAGCCCGTTCCGTACGGAGTCCGTCGCTGACCTATTTACAAGGCTGTATTCTCCTAGCCTACTACTTTTACACGTCAGGCCCGACGCACCAAGGCTGGATCCTTATTGGGGTCTGTGTCAGATTAGCCTATGACTTGGGACTCTCCGAAATTGACGACGAAGATTGGAGCCCTCTCACGCCCACAGACTCAATTGAGAAGGAAGAATGCAGGCGAGTCTGGTGGGCAGTGTGGGAACTCGATACATTTGCATCCACGGTCTCCCGGAACCCTTATGCAATTGATCGCAAAAGGATGGCTGTAGCGCTACCGATCTCGGACGAAGCTTGGTTTGCCGAAATCGAGATGTCATCTGCAGAGCTTAACATGCTACCCGGTCAATCGTGGAGGTCGTTGCAGGGTAATAATAACCAAGATGAACGGGCGTGGTTCTTGGTTGCCAATCACTTCATGGCGACGGTCCATGATCGATTGCAACAGAAACAAGACATTTCCTCAGATGAGAAATTGACGCTGGAGAACGAAATCTGCTGTTTTAAACTTGCCCTTCCTGCATCGCTTCGACTCGACGCCGAGACTTTGACATTCACTCCAGCGACTTTTGCCCGCTGTAACTGGGTTATTGGCACACACCTCATGTTGATGGCCGCGTCCTTTATGGTTTCTGGAATTATCACTGCCGAGAACGACGATCGCAGTGTGTCGAGTGTGGGTGGTGGCAGCTCATCACCGCTCCGACAGCGCGCCATCGACTTGTCACGGATCATCAGTCTTTGGGATTCTCGGTATATTGCGGTCGCCCACCCCTTTTTTACATGCATGATGCTTCCGCCTTACTACGTGGATGGTGATATCCTGAGGACCCAGCCTCTGATCGCTTCTAGTCACGACTTGGGGAAATTGGTCCTCGCACATTTCAGCGAGAGGTGGAAGTTGGGCTCCGTGGTGTCAGGTAAGAACTGAACAGTCCTCGAATGCTTTTTCATTCTGACCATTCGAATAGAGCTGGCAAAGATTCTTGAGAGAGGAGGCGTACTTAACGCTGAGGAGAGACAGCTAGCCAAAAGATATGCAGTATTTTTCCGAATGCCGCGACTCATCGGCAACAGCCCTCCGGATCTCAATCGACGAGAGAGGAAGACCTCGATAATCAGCGACAGTGTTCCCTACACAGGGCCCACAGAGGTGCAGCAACAACAACCCGCACCACAGGAAGAGTATCCCACATCGCTAGACATGCCTGCCCAAACGAACATGGCCAACTATCAAGCTCCCATGTTTGACCCTCAAACCTTTCCTCTGCTTCAACCTCATTTCTATGATGGAAGTAATGAGATCGACTTTGGGTTCTCGGACTTCTTTGGTGGATACCAAGACTTGGATTTCATGCCTGGATGAGTGGCCCGAGTCAATGATAGCGCCGCCGAGCTCTCGGGTAAACCAATGCTTCCTGCCTGGGAGGGAGGGATGCATGCCAGCCACTGCTTTCGATCTTGGCTTTTTATACCAATGTACCGGATGCCGCGCCGCACCGAGCGGGAATCCATCAAAGCTGTTGTCACGTGGGCGGTGATCGGTGGATTGCTGAAGCCGGCCATGACCGTGGCCGTAAGTTGCCCATCTCGGATCTTGTCAAGACCGGAGAGAGGGACTGCGGAACGATATTATCCCTTCCCACAATTTGTCATTAACCTGTGCGGCCGGATTGCGCGGTGTGGTCTGGGAAGTGTTGATATATTGCACCCTAAGGAAACTCCTGTGGAAGGCATAGCTTGCGTCTGTGTAGACGTCTTGGACACCAACCCATCTTGCGACACACAACAGCCCAACCCTTTCGTTAAAAGAAAGACGCCATGACAGGGAAGCGAGTTCGTGTTGTCCGACTGGCGCACGTTGTATACCAACACCCAGATCTGGAAAAGGCACTCACCTTTCTCTTCGATTTTGGCTTTGTCGAGGAGCACCGAACACCGGACCGCGTGTACCTGCGCGGGTACGGGAGCCAGCCAGTCGTCTACGTGGCCGAAAGATCTCCAGACAACAAGAGACATTTCCTTGGGGGTTACTGGGTGGTGGATAGCCTGCAAGATCTGGAAACAGCCGCTGCTCGTCCAGGCGCCTCTCCCATTCAGGACAGCGATGCACCCGGAGGTGGAAAGGTGGTGACGGTCGAGGATCCCAATGGCTACAAAGTTGGATTTGTCTACGGGCAGAAGTTGAGAGAGTCGGATGGTCCAGTGCCTCCTCTCGAGAAGACTGAACCAATATCAAACACTGCTATCCAAAAACCACGGAAGGGGACATTCCGACGCTTCAAACCAGGTGCATCCCCTGTGCACAAGCTGGGCCACTATGGGTTTATCGTCCCGGGGAGCAAATTCGAGAGCACGCTCTCTTTCTACCTCGACCTCATCAATCTGAAGCCGACCGACGCCGTTTTCAACCCAGAGACGGGTAAAGATGAGACATGCTTTTGCCATATAGACCTGGGACCGGAATATACGGATCACCATGTGAGTTACACGCGGTCTGGATGGTTACTGTATACTGACAGGGAGGCAGAGTTTCTTTGTCGCATCCGGGCCCGAGGGACGCCCTGTGTTTGTTCATCATTCGAGCTATGAAGTCAATGACTTTGACACGCAGACCCTCGGCCACGATTGGCTCCGAGACAAGGGCTGGACGAATTGCTGGGGCATTGGGCGACATGTCCTCGGAAGTCAGATTTTCGACTACTGGTATGGATGTCTTGAGCTCTGGCATTGCGATCCTCCTCTGGAACTGTTGGCTGACTTTGTTGGTGATAGGTTCGACGGCTCTGGAAATATAGTGGAGCACTACTCGGACGGCGACCTGGTCAATGAAGACACGCCGTTTGGCAGGGAGGCAGCAGCCCCCGATACCCTACATATCTGGGGGCCCAATATCCCCCTGGCATTCCTGTCGGGAAAAATCGAAGACGCCGGCAAGGAGGTGCCTGTGCCCCCGGACCCGTTGGAGGCGAAGCCAGCTCAGTACAGTGTGCCTCCTCTGGTGACGGCTTAGGTTGAAGGAGCGAATGGTGAAGGGCGGCGGAATGCTGCGACTAGGCGAAGAAGACGATCTATATACGAGTATGGCTAGCTAACGATTCGCTGTCCAGTCTCATATGAGAGTGTTTCAGACATGGGAATATACTAGAGCAGTCTCATTAGCAGTATATGGTGACGTTGAGGTGGGTGTGTGTGTAGGTGTGGGTGTGGGTGCTTGGAAGACATTGTAGAGGGAGTCAGTTGCCTGCGCCTCCAAACACCGAGTATCTGTCTTTTCACCAATTCACCAGCTCTATGCCTACTCCGTACTTGCCACATTCTTACACAGGACCTCGTAGAGAGAGTCTAGACTCAAACGTCATGTCCATCTTCCCACTGGTCCCTCCATCAGCCTCTTCGTCAGCCACAAATACCCTCAAACAAAAGTCATCCTCCATCCTCCATTCTCCATCCTCCTGGCGGCAACCGCGGCCGCTCCCTCCTCGGTCAGACACGGTGCAAACATTGACACCGCGCTCCCCCGCTCTCACTCCACGGTACGAGTAGACTGCACTCGGTACCTCGTACATACACCTCCGTATTCCTGGGGGATGGTCAGCAGCACGGTTACTAGCACCATTGGGCTATTCCGTGGCTGACCCTCTTCCCGGGAATGGGTTCTGCTCCACGTCTTAATCATCATTGTCAAATCAATCATCCACCTCACCTCCTCCCCGCCCTCCCACAAAGGATAGACCAGCAGCCTTTTGGCACAGGCTAGACGAACGAGAAGCGTGTAGTGATGACGTGGGGCCAACTTGGGAGAAGGCCCCGAGGGCTGGTTGTACCTGCGCTAAAGAACGGTCGCTCACTCGACTCGACATGCACCACTATACCAAGTCCATCGAGTGACACTGACATGTACGGGGGCTAAGCCTCAGAAGACTTCCCTTCCCCAAAACCATGGGCGAGTACATAATGCGGAGGGTCTCCGTGTTACTAATATTTAAAAGGGGACCAGGTACCGACTGATGCTGGTGGGACAAAGAGGGCAAAGGGATCTGCACGCAAAAGACACAAGTCACCGCCTGTCACAGAATCAGATCTGGAGGTAGGCATATAAGAGAATAAAGAGATATATCTAAAGAACTTCGAGTCAACCCTTCTCTTTCTACATTGTACCTGCGAGTCCTCTCAAGTCATTCGAGGTTCTGCCAACAAGATGGTGCGTCAGGCATACTGTGTAGATGCTCTCTCGATCACTGACATCCACATAGGTTGTTCACCACGAAACGCCCGTCCTCGTCGTCGGAGCTGGACCTGCCGGCCTGATCACGGCGTTCCAGCTGGCCGAGAACGGCGTCGAGTGTATGCTCGTGGAGCGAAACCTCGACACGACCAAATGGCCCAAGATGGACATTACGAATTGCCGGAGCATGGAGCTGTTGAAGCGCCTCAAGGTTGACCAGGGGCTCCGCGAAGTCGGTTCGTTCCTGGAAGCATTTTATTGACCGTCTTTTTGTGCTGTGGAAGAATGGGATGGAATGGACCGAGCTGATGAGCCGCTTAATTCAGGCGTGCCGCAAAAGTACTCGTTCGACGTTCATTTCAGTTCTGGATTAGCCGACGGCGAACGCATTGCAAAATGGGTAACTCCTCCTCACTACCTCCCAAGCGACTTGTCCTCGTCTTTGCCACTCCTGAGGACAGATGACGATGGTAGTGTCAAGACTAACGTTTCCATATCCTAGGATCTTCCCTCGCCAGACTGGTGGCGCGCTCAGATCAAAGCTCACAATGATGGCACCATGCCCCGTGAGCCATACCAACGTTGCTCGCAGGCCATCTTCGAGGCCTGGCTGAAGCCGCGCATCCAGGCACAACCTCTGATCGACTCCCACTTTGGCTGGAAGTTTGAGCGCCTGACCGAGTCCGACACGGGCGTCGAGTGCGAACTGACCGACACCAGCGGCGAAACGCACAGGGTCAAGGCTCAGTATGTCGTTGGTTGCGACGGCGGAGGGAGTCGCGTGCGGAAAGAGATCGGCATCAACCTGACAGGAGGGCCAGTGTGAGTGCTTCTTTGGCTTATCACGATTCAATCGCTCTTTTCGTTTGCTTTCCAGCTCACAAGTTGATTTCTAGCCCTGCAAAACTCTACCTTGTCCACTTCAAGTCTCGCGACCTGAGCCGCATCCAGAAGCAAGGCCAGTTCTGGCACATCTTCTTCACCAGCGGACACGTCATCATCTCGCAGGACGAGGTCGACACCTGGACCGCGCACACGCCTTTGCCGCTCGACTTTGACGACTCGACCCTCGACCCGAAGGAAGCCGTCTACCGCGTGTTGGGAGGATCGGGTGCGCCCTGGCCCATCAAGATCGACGAGGTGCTCGTAACGAGCACGTGGCGACCCAACATCTACCTGGCGGACAAGTACATCTCCCCAAAAGGCCGCGTCTTCCTCTCCGGCGATGCGGCACACCAGAACATCCCCACGGGGGGTTACGGCATGAACACGGCCGTCGGGGACAGCTTCGACATTGGTTGGAAGCTGGCCGCCGTGTTGTCCGGCCACGGTGGTCCCACGCTGTTACAGTCGTACGAGGACGAGCGACGGCCCGTGGCAGCCAGGAACATTGAGCGATCTGGCGTGCACTGGTCGCAACACACGTTCTACAAGGAGCTAGTCGACAAGACGGGAGATGCCGTCATTGCGAAGACAGCCGAGGGCGACGACGTGCGGAGACAGATCGCCGAGTACATTGTCGCACACGACGGGGAGAACAAGGACCACGGCATCGAGATGGGATACCGGTACAACGGCTCCCCTGTCATCTTCGCGGACGAGGCCGGCACAACGACCGAGCCCGAGTGGAGCCCGGAGCGTTATGTGCCCTCGACCTGGCCGGGCGCACGGGCTCCACACGTGTTTTTGAAGGACGGGGAGACCAGCGTGTTCGACCTGTTTGGGAGCGGCAAGGAATACTCCCTCGTCGACTTTACGCCTCAGGGCCGGTACATCGGGCTTTTTGAGTCGGAGGCAAAGAAGATGGGCGTGCCGCTCAAGACGATCCATCTGCCCGACGAGCCGCACGTGAGGGTAGTGTGGGAGCGGGACGCCGTGCTCGTCAGACCCGACGACCATGTCGCATGGCGATGTTCGCAGAGTGCGGGAGACGACGATGAGAAGAAGCTGGACGTCCAACACATCCTGGCCGTCGTCGTGGGGAAGGGGTCGTCCTCGTCAAATACAACGACCGTCACCAGTGGTGGTGGCAACCAAGACGATGCTCTCGCGCGGGTCAAGGAGAATGGCTTTACCAGCACGGTTGGGAACGTGGATCACGACAAGGTCGAAGCTCTCGGGGAGTTTCAGCGGTGATGGGACATTACATGGCCTAAGACGTGGTATAAAGTCTGTTTGAGCGAGGGCACGAGTATATGATAGGATAGGAAAAGGACGAGAGTGAGATGGAGTTTGATATACCCATCTTACTCGGTATAGCATCCTGCAGTGTATAGCAGGGTCCATATCACCCACTCTGGAACTATGCTACACACCGTTTTATCTTCTTCAACATACGGAGACATGAAATGTAGAACTGAAACATCCGTCAACTAGTCTGGATGACACGTTGCCATCCAGTGCCTATTCCTGTTTATTCCCGTTCCTTGATCTCATTTCTATTGGTAAGGGATGCTATTCCTTATCCTCTCCGTCCTTGTCCTCCGTCTTCTTCTTTGGTGGCGGCACCCACGGCCACGCCCACTCATACGGCAACAGATTCGTCGGACACTTTGCGACCCACGCGCCGTCCATGCCGGGTGCGATGGTGCAGTTTTTGCCTGTATCACTGCCACCGTCACCTTTTTGCCCATTGGCTCTGCTCGTGTGATTACCACCACTCTCCTTTTCCTTCTTGCTGGCGTTCGTGTGATTAGGGACAAGACACTCCGAATTCCAGCACGGATACGCCGCGTGCAGTCCGCCGGGAACCTTGCACCCGCCGCTGGACGTGCACTTGCCGTCCATCTTCTTCAGGCTGCGCGCGTGAAGGTTGAAGGTGTTGACGCTGGCGGCGAGGGCGGACGGGTCGGCGATGGTCGACGCGGTGGCTGTCGTGGCGAGCAGTGCGATGACCGCGGTGGCGGTGGTTGCGGTGGTGAGGAGTTTCATTTCGTGCGAGAGGTATAGAGTACTTTGTTCTTTTTTTTTTTTTTTTTTTTTTCTTTGCGACGATGTCGTCGGTTATATCGTTTTTCTAGTAGTGGAAGTGGAGGAGGAGGTAGCTTCGCTCTACTGTTTGATGGCGGTACTCGATATTTGTGTTTGTATGTTTGTATGTTTGCATGTGAAGAATTGGATCCTGATCGATCTCCAGGGGAAAGAAATCGAACTAAAGAACAAACGAGACAAAAAAAAAGAGCAGAGGAAACAAAACCAACTCACCGGCCGATAAGATGTATAACAAACGACCTCAAAATCTTTGTTTCTCATGAATGAGTGTGACAAATGCTCGTAAAAGAGATTGGGACAAGTTTTAAAGAGATCATGCATACAAAACAATAATTCACTGACAATGAAAAAGAGGGAGGACCTCGAGTTTCCATGGTGTCAGTGGTCAATGGCGAGAGAGGCACAAAGACACTAGAAACAAGAAACAATAAGACACAATGAGACAACAACACATAGCGCCCAAGGAGGGACATGCAGCGGACAAGTGACAAGTGACAAGTGACGAGGCTGGGTGGAAAAGGGGTAGCGGGAGAACAACCAAACAGAAATCGTTCAACAGTAGAGAAGACCTCGAGACGGAAGCCGAGAGGATATCCGAGACAGCGAAGCGCTCCAAAGAAGATACTTCGACAGCCATGGTGTCTGTCAACCCTACATCATGGATATAACTCACTCACCCACCCACCCAATCATCCACATCCCCTCAACATCATGGAAGAGACACTCCCCGCTGGGGACAACTTACCTTACTAGACACTGACCTCCCTGGCCTACCTGGTGTGATGGTGTTGGTGGTTGCGATGGCTCTAGACTCTGTATTCAACGGTACCAATACCCTTGCTGTTCCGCGCCGTTTGCTCCCAGTACCCCGGGTTCAGGCCCTGCTCGACAGCGCTGATCTGCAGGGCGAGGACGGGCGAAAACTGTCGCGCCCACACGAAGCTGCCGGTCATGTACCAGAAGCCCGGGAAGCCGGTGGGCCGCCACCACTGTAATAGAGTCAAAATCAGTCATCCCAAGAAAAGGAAGGGAAAAAGAAAAAAGCAGTAAAGTCAAGGTAAAATGACTGACTTACCCCAATCCGCTCCTGCTCGTCGTTGAGAAAGCCCAGATCGCCAACCCGCTCGGCGACCTTCTTCCCCATCAACTCCTCCACGGTCAGCACGTTTCTCTGATACCCCGTCGCCAGAATGACCAGGTCGGCGTCCACCTTGGTCCCGTCCGCGAGGACGACCCCGTCCCTGACAAATTCCTTGACCCCGGCGGCGCACGACTTGACCTTGATTCTCCCATCCACAATCATCTGGCTCGCGCCTTGGTCGATGTAGAAGTGGCCGGTCTTGACGGCGAGGTGGTCGATAAAGCCGTACCCGGCTGTCTTTGCATGCTTGACCTTCAGCCCGGCCTTCTCCAAGCCCTGGAGCAGCTCCTTGTCGTGCTCCTGCATCATCTGCGTCTGTCCGATGTTGAATGTCCGAGCGACGGCAATGGGGAAGGAGTTTGCGATGATGTCGGCCTCCTCGGTCGTTATGCCGGGCGTGTCCCAGATGGAAAAGTAGGCGTCTTCAATCGCTTTGGCCGACAGGGAGAAGATGGGGTTGCGTTGGATCATGGTCACCTCCTTGGCCCCGGAATTGACAAAGTCCTGGGCGATGTCGTGGGCGCTGGTGCCAGAGCCGATGATGGCGACGCGCTTGTTGCCAACATCAGGCGTGAGGCGTGCGGCTTTGTGGTGCATTGCATGGTACGCCTCTCCTTCGAACAGATCTCGGCCGGGGATCTCAGGTTCGATGGGGTGACGACTGAACACGCCGGTCGCCAGGACAAGGTGCCGAGGGTGGAAGGTTTGTTTGCCGTCCCCATTTTCCACCTCAACAGTATATCGGCGCGACTCTTCGTCGTAGTCGATCTTGTTCACAGTGGTGCTGAGCATATATTCAAGTCCCATCACTTGGCCGTAGTGTTCCATCCAGCTGGCGATCTTGTCCTGCTCCAGCCATCGCGGCCAGTTGGTGGGGTATTTGAGGAAAGGATAGTGGTCGGTATAGATTGGAGTATGGGTCCTAACTGTTTCGTATCTGGACCGCCACAGATCCCCAAGTCGTGGGAGCTTGTCGACGAGCACCGCTTTGACGCCCATGTTCTTGAGCTGCGCAGCGAGCATAAGACCCGATTGTCCTGGAAATCAATCAGCTGGGTGGCTGCTCGGCAACGTGTAATGACCTACCTGCACCGATAATCAAGACCTGAAGGTCGTCCTTGTGTTCCCCATTGACTCCCTGCCCAAGTTTTGTCTGGGTGTAGGATTGGCGTAGTCGTTGGTTGTCAAGCTCGTCCTGATTGTTGAGTCTCTCAAGCTGTGTGAAGACGGTCCATGCTTTCCAGTGAGACTTGTCCACATTGATCAATCGGACGAGACCGGTGCCCGAGCCATCACTTGTCCGGAAGGTAAACCCACCCTGGATCCAGATGGCTCCGTGCATGTCTACCAAGCTGGGCTGCAGACCCCCGTTTTTGACGGTAGCCAGCTGTCCGAATCCAATGGTCGAGCTGTTGAGATACTCTGCGACGTCTTTGAGACCGTGCTTGGTCACGATATCCCATGAAAGACCGGTAAAATCCCGCCACCATGAGTCGTCAATGAAGAGATCCGAGAGGTCAGTAGACAGACCGTTCTTAGGACGCTTCTCTAGAGCTGCGAGCCAGTTGGCCACGATGTCACTGGCATTGATTTCATCGCGGTTGACGCCGTCGTCGAGTGTGAGTGCTGGGATCGAAGCAAGTGGATAGCCGTCCATGATCACAAAAGTGTCAACTTGAGATGTGTTACTCTCCTGAGAGACACGCCCCAATGGTGTAATTTCCGTCGTTTATATAGCCAGCGTGGAGTAGACGTTCCATGGTGGTTATAGCGGTCAGGTAACAATCTGCCAGGAATGGGCGACCAGCCGCAGTCGGTCCACTATACGAGGATCCTATAAGGACAGTGTTGAGGCCGCCAACTCCACCACTGAACGCGACGTATCGAGATCTCACAACTTCGTTTGTAATGTCACCCCTAAACAGGGGTGCCCAGATTCGGACCGGCTTGTGAGGTTGAGAAGTGCTGAGTGCTGACCGTCGGTTCACACTGTGGTTTCCGCCTCCTCCGGACAAGGAGCTCCAGCATGAGTTGTTGGAGCATAGACAGGAGACCTACCAACGGATTTTCTACCACTCAAAAGTAGCCAGGAGCAGTCTGTTATACTGGGGTTGTGATTACGCGCGCCACGTCCAAATCGAGCAAAGCCTGCTTGTAACCGTGCAACACAAACCTGGAAGCTCAATATCCCTCAAGACGTCGTGATGTGGGAACGGGACGCCTGAAGATGATTGTATCAGGAGTTGCCAACGATCCGACGAGAGGGAGCGAGTCTGTCCTCCAAATTGGGAAAGACTTGCAAGGTGGGATCGAGTCGCTCTGCCAAGGTCATCATCATTGAACAGGCGACCAAACGGGGGTTTTTTTCTCAGCATATCCTGCTCAAGGGTGGATGGCAGTGGCTATAGGAGTATCATCCGCGTTTGTTCAATCCACTGCCGCATGACATTCTGGTGAGAAGCGACCTGACAGACCACTTTTCGAAGACGTGGAAAACCGCTTTGTCTGCCAGATGCCGAGGCAAGGCTGTGACAAAACCAGACGAGGCTGACACAAGGCTGAAGGGGATCGTTGCCAAGGAATGCTGAGCCTCGTGCCCGACCGACTTGCATGGATCTGCTCTCCTTCTATCCTTCTATCCAATCCTACAACAATCCGGTCTGTCAATTCTAAGCTCACTAGTAAACGCACTCGTATCTCGCTCGTTAAACATGGCTCTGCCAAACCTACGCCGTCTCTTCGTCGAGGCTCGAACCGAGGCAGAAGAGAATGAGTACTCCCGCAACGCCGTAAGCTTCCTTGCTGGTACCAAATACAGAAAATATCCAACATAGTTCTAACCTCCCTTGCTTAGTTTTACAACCTGGTCCTGTTCATTTCATCCGTAGCCGTCTTCAGCCTAGTTGCACAGCGCATGAGCGGCAATAAAGCAATCAAATAAAGAAACCACCTGACGAAGCGCCTCTGAAGGACGGCTTGAGTTCCGACTTCAATCAGTCTCCTCACCATCGCTGCTCAGAAAGTCGTAATTCTTCGCTCCTCGCACCAACCGTCTCGCTGTGGGTCGCGGGCCATCTGTACTTTTCTCAGCTCGCGCACCGTTCTGGGCGTTGAAAGCACCCCAGCGTGCTTCTCCTTCTTGGACAGCCTCGATGTCGGCCGCCAACTCTCGAGCCTCTTTGATCTGGTTCGCCTTCTCTGCCGAGTACCTGCCAGTCATGCCGATGTCGGCGAGCATTTGTTTCAAATGCTTGATTTTGGCTTTGGAGGTTTCGTAGGGTTTCAGCTCTTTACCCCACAGCTTACGAATGCCGCATTTCATCAGCCAGCCTTGAAGACGCTTGATTTCGGCCTGCTCGGTGTCGATACTGGCGTCGGCTTTTGGCTTTGTGGTGGGTCTGCTGGCGGGCTTCTTGGGCGTTTGCCCCGCCGAGTCTCTGCGCTTGCTGCTCTTTTTCGCTTGCTCGTCCTCTTGGCCAGAGTCTGACACCTTTGCTCGCTCGGTTGGAACGGGCTTGGACTTGACGGAGCGTGCTTTCTGAGGGCTCTTTCCTGGTTTTGTTTTTGGCGTCTCTTGCATCGCTTCCGAGTCTACACTCCCCTGCGGGGAAGACAGATTCTTCGAGGCATGGTCGCGACTCTTTGCGGTAGCAGCTTTTCGTCTCTTGTTCGGTGTGGACTCTTTCTGTTTCTGTGAGGTCTTGCGCTTCTTGGATGTCTTCTCGGGCTCTTTGGCCTTAGGCTTGGCCTCCTCCGGGGGAGGGCTTTCTGTCACTGCCCGAACATCCTGGCCGCAGTATTAGCTGTGCGCGACACATCACTTGGGAGCATCCAGATGTACCAGTTGGTCGGCAATGATAGCTTTACTTCGCTGTGCCCACTCCTCGTGTTGTTTGTAGAAACCCTTTGGGAGCCCGAGTTGCGTTTCGGAAGCTGCGCGAATGGAGTTGTTCGAGAACTCGATTCCATCTTGTAGCGCCTTGTCCACCTCATGGCGTAGACTTTGCTCGAGTTCGTTGTCTGGTGGTGTGGGTGTCTCGGAGGCTTCTGAAAGTTCCGAGTCGGACACGGACATATTGCTCTGATCAAGGGTAATGATGACTATATTATCCAAAAAAGATAGGAGGGTTGATCGAACACGCGCAGGCGCCGTTGAATTAATGAAAAAACGCGCTGGTCGCATCAGGGCCAGTCGACCCTTGATTTCCCTTCTGCGATGGGCTCGAGGCTTCCCCGCAACGTAAACACGATCAAGCACGTGATGGTAATGGTCTAGGCCTACCTGGGGAAAGTCAAAGGAGAAGGTGAAGCGAGCCTGCATCGGACATAATCGGCGTTTGTCGCGCCACAAGGCAAGGCTTCATTTTTCTGATTTACAATCATGTCTCAACCTCAACTTTGATGCTTGCTAAAGGCGCGTGAGGGAAGATTGCGGCGGACCCCCCCGAGGAAGGCGTGCGGCGATCGCGGATCAGCAGACAAATGTCGTTCCCTTTTCCAGATGGTCAAGCATCGGGCACCAGGGATGCAGAGGATGAGGACAAGAAGCCACAGAAGACTGCGCCGGGAGTTGTCCTGGACAAGGATGGGAAACCGTGCGTTGTTGCTGTTTGTTGAAGACTCGGTTCCGTACTGACTACAGGACAGATGTCGAACGTGTACTTCGTCTGCCGCATGGATGGCGATGATGAAGCAGGGCACGGGCAGAAAGACAAAAGCCGCCGCCGCTCCAGTCCTGCCTCCACGAACCGAATGCCCGCCGGACGTCGAAGAACTTGGTAGAGCTACGTGGACGCTGCTGCACAGCATCGCGGCTACATACCCCGAGGCGGCCCCTCCCGAAACTCAATCAGTCATGAAGCAGTTCATTTCGACCTTCTCCATGCTCTACCCTTGTTGGGTGTGCGCGGACGATTTTCGAGACTGGATGAAAAAGCCCGGGAACGAGCCCAAGGTCAAAGGACAAGACGACCTGGGTATGTGGATGTGTCAAGCTCATAATGCGGTGAATGTGAAGCTGGGGAAGACCGAGTTCGATTGTAGTCTCTGGAAGCAGAGATGGAAGGACGGGTGGAAGGACGGGAGATGTGATTGACGATGTCACGCAACGGGTTGACAAGGGAAAGAAATTACAAGATGTTGGACTGTACAACCACACAAGAGATACCATTTGAGAAGAACAGGGCAGGAGGGGGTGGGAATAGATCTTGGACATATATAGAGCATTAGCGGCGGCGCAACTCCTCTCCTCATGTCGATACTTTGTATATACCATATCTCAAGGACGACCATGTACTACAACGCCACAGGTATGATGGCAAAGAGCGACAAATACAAATGATTAGAACCAACGAATTATCACTGATCCCCTCTACATACTTGGTATGGCAGCATTACTGGAGCATGGGGGCATTGAGGCGGAGCCTTGCGCCCTGACAATGCAATTTCCATCAAGTCGCAAACCCCCTCGGCAAGAGAAATTACATTCATTCTATCTTGTACCTTGATACTTTCTCCTCCACCATATCGCCAATCCAATCTACGCGTACTCAGAATGCACCGACAAGACCCGGAGCATTCCTTGTTCACATCCATACCTGGTCCTAGACAAAACACCGGCCAACAACTCGTAGTACATAACTACTACTAGGACCACGAGTACATTCTTCATCATCACCCACCTACTCCCCCCCCCTTGTTCGACTTGGCCACCACTCGAGAATGTTACCCCTTCTCTCTCTATCTAGCCTGGTCCGTCGTTGGTTTCTTATCTCTTACGCGTGTCGTTGCTCTCGTCGCCAACCCCTGTCCCCTGTTCCCATTTATCTAAGAGTACGAGGACAGACGGGTCCCGAGTAGAGTACTCGTACCAAGGACCGAGTGCGAGTCCATACATATCTGCCACCATCGTCACCCACAAGACCCGAGACTTAAGACACTAGCTTTCCGAGACTTAAACATCTTGGCTCTGCAAACGAACTTGGTCCTGTCAAACTCTTGCTCTCGTCTCGTCTCTTCTCGTTTCGTTTGTTTTGTATTGGAAAAATACCTGAGAAGCTTGGAACTTCCTCCCTCCTCTTCTCGAAAAGAAAAAGTTTTCCCTTCGTCTCCTTCGTAGAGACACTTTTACCTGCTCAGCTTGTAAGCTAGCCAGCGTTGTGGAGTGCTAGTCCTAGAGCAATAGCAACATGAAAGAGCAGAAGACGAGAGTGATGATCACTACGACTCACGCTTATGCTCATGCTCATGCTAATGCACATGCTCGACCTCATCCCTGACGATGCGCCTCTTCCGTCGCCCGTCACTTCGGTCACTGGTCCTCGTGGCACTCGTCTTGACATTGATCGTCACCAACACCCGCAGTAGAGAAGCATACCTCTATCGTGGCCAGAAGGGGCCACTATACGACCCGGCCCGCTTCTCGCCCGGGACCGCCAAACCAGCCGGGCAGAACTACACGCGTGTGCTGGTCACGACACGGCTGTCTGGGGAAGACACGTCCTGGCTGGACCGAGACCTGCCCGACCTGCCCAAGAAGATCTACTCGATCGACGCGACAGACTCGGACTCGGGAAGCGGTAATGGCCCGTCGGCGACAAACAGGGGCAGCGAGGAAGCCGTGGCCTATCTGACCTACATCATCGACCACTTCGACGCCCTCCCAGATATTGTGCTGTTCTTCCGCCCGGCCAAGAAGAGCCGGCACAACAACGTCGTGCTGGACGCGGACACGGGCGTCACCATCAAGCTCCTCTCCGACGCCCACGTCATGCGCCAGGGCTACTTCAACGCGCGCTGCCACCTGGACCCGGGCTGTCCGGACTGGCTGCACGTCGACCAACCCCTGAGAAAGTACGACCTGGTGCGCAAACCTGCGGAGCCGGCCCTGACCTCTGCGCTGTTCCACGACTTATTCGGGCACGACACCCCCATCCCGCGCGCCCTGTCGCAGCCGTGCTGCGCGCAGTTCGCCGTGTCGGGCGAGCGCATCCGCCAACGCTCTGTCGACGAGTACCGACACTACCGGGCCTGGCTCAAACGCACTAGCGACGACGACTCCTCCAAATTCTCGGCAACCATCCTCGAATACTCCTGGCAATACATCTTCACGGGCCTATTTGAGTTCTGCCCGTCCCCACACCGCTGCCTCTGCGACGGGTACGGCGTGTGCTTCGAGGGCCGCGAGCGCGGGCTGCGCCGCTGGCTCGAGTCGTTCGACGCCAAAGAGGGCCTGGACGCGCAGCTCCTCGCGCCGTGGACGGGCGCAGACGGCGGCGGCAGAAGCGACAGCGACAGCAACACCTTCAAGGATCTCAAGAACCGCCGCGGCAGGCTGGGCAGGGAGCTGGACCGTGCCAGGGAGCTGGCTGTTCGGAGGGGCTTTGATCCGCGGACCCGGGCGAGGGAGTGTGGTAGGCCGTGGCGTGTGGGTGATGGCTTTTAAGACCTTCTGCGAGGGTAGCTGTGTCGATTTAATATCTGCATTATACTCTTGTTGTCTATTGACGGATTGTCTGGGCAGGGGGCATGACAATCAGCTGCGGTAGACATGGGAGAGCAACGTTGTGGTGGCATTAGAGGCATTTGATATTTCGTCTCCCCTTCGTGATTAAAATGATAATCATACAAGAATTCTCTGTTCCACTGCCCACGCCATTGTGTGATACATTCGAAATGCCAGCTAGTTGTGGCTGACACAGCCCTGCGCGCCCTGCGTCGATAATGCCTCTTTACATTCCGAGCAGCGAGTAAAGTCATCCTAGCAATAGGCTTTGCTCGAAGCGTACACCGTTTGCATCGACGCAAGTAGCTTCCTGTCAAGAGCCATACAAGTAATGACCGACCAACACTCATTCGCCATCCAACGCCTGGCTGTTGATCATGACCCGGACTGATGAAATGCTCCGAACCCCGTTCGTCCGTATCATACACCCGGACAAAGTCTCGGTTCAATGTCACATCCCACAACAACTCATAGCCCGCCTGAAAATGCCGTCCCTAGTAGTTCATGACCATCTCGCCTGACCCGGTCTTCGGATCCATGGCCCCATCAAAGTTTCCCGGGGGATAGTCGTCCAGACTTCGATATGCCGGCGCTCCCCGGCCGCCGCCTCCACCGGCAGGACCGTTATTTCTGCCTCTGTTTGAGCCGCCTCCAGCTTGGCCACCACCGCGTTGTTTCAGACCGGTATTTGCTGAATTACTCCCCCTGTTCCCAGACAAGTTTGGATTGTTACGGTTGTTAAAGTTGGCCTTGCTTTGTTGGTTACGCTGTTGATAACGTCCTCCTCTTGGCACATAGCCACCATCATCTCTGTCGCTTCCACCGGCGACCCGTGCATATGAGTCTCTGTTCCGCGAGTTGGGCTCGTCACCACCATATTTTCGCTTGTGCCCTGCCTCAAAATCATTGACAAGATGTCCCCTCCGGTTACCTCCAGACCCACGCTGAACTCGGGAGTGATCGTCTTCGATTTTCAACATGACCTTGTCGGCCACTGTGGTTTCGAACATGAAGGCTTTGTCCGGAGGGACAGATTGCCAGGTCTGTATTCTGGCTGCGTCGATCTGTCTGGAGCCCTTTCGGACAGCTAGAACGACAAGAGGTGTGGGATCCTGGGTGTAGATTTGAGTGTCTGTTACTGGTGCAACGCGGGCAGCCCAGATCCGATCTTCGTATTTGGCGATTCCCGTAACCTGCCATGTGACTTTCTTGCCACGCCCGCCAACCTTCTTGAGAATGTCATGCCGCGGGTAGTAAGGCGTAATGAGGATACTCGACGCAAAAAGACGGACTTCGCCAGAATCAATCATCCCAGCTGCGATATTGAACAATGTCAGGAGGCGTGCAGAGTCTGTTTGGTTGATCATATAACCGAAATAGCAGAACTGCTGGTCGATCTTCAGATGCTTGCGGACAGTCTTTGTCACAGTGGGAACCCCGTTGGAGATTGCTTCGTTGTGGCGAGTGATGGCTCGCTGCACGACCTCGACTTCGGTCTCTGGGTTCAGAGTAGTCTTCAGCTCACAGACGTGAATCACCTCCGCCGTGATGGGCTTCCGAGGAGGCGGTGGTTGGTCAACAGGATGCGATAGGAATGACTTGTTCAAGCGCTCAAAGTAGTCTCTGAAGCCTTTGACGTGCTTGGGACGATCCTCGTAAATTCTTATTTCGTCAGCATTCTTATAGCTGAAGACTAGTTCTTTGAGGAACTCCTGCTTGAACCCCATGGTGGACTCGAACTGCTGGCCTGAGGGGCCTACCTCGGGCTTGAGGACGACCATGTCGAAGTCGAGTTTCCGTGAGTTGCAAATTCGGTTGACCAGGTCCGCGAAATACGTCTCTCCCCTGCCGGTGAGCAATACAGTGAGGACATCCTTGGTCTGGCTGCTCAATTCGACGAGCTGGACCACAGTCTCGTTCCAGTGACCCTCCCATGCGCGGGGTTCTTCAATCTCGAGACCATCTCCTGTGGCTGCCAGTATACTATTATCGTGCCACCACCCTCCATAGGCGAGAGTCTCATATGTTTGAAGCAGACCAACGGTAGGTTGTGCCCATATCTGGGGGTTTGGCAAGGGGCTGTTGAAGAGCGTATTGTCGAAGTCGTAGACGTGAATAGCCTTGATGGACGGGACGGGAGGTAATTCCTTGCTCTTACACGACCACCGTCTGAGACCGACCAGCGAATAGGTGGTCTTCATTGTGAGGCTGGAGGATGACCGCCTGGACAAACTAGACTGCCAGGGTCGAAGAGTTCGTGGGGTAAGAGGCAATCGCTGTCATTGAGACTCGTGGAGGAAGCAGAGGAAGAATCGACGGGTTGCCAGGCGCATCTGAGGTGGTCGTGGTCGTGGTGGGATATGAGCCCGAGAGCGTCGAGATTTTTACCGGGGTCGATCCGCTGGAGATGTACACAAGACGAAGAAAGAGTCAGGAGGAAATACGGGTCGGGCGTTTGTGAAACACAGGTAGCAAATCAGTTACTCAAGTTCGTGGTTGGAAGGCGACGAGGCAGACAAGCTCATTTGGGTCGGCAAACTTGCCTCGAGTAGTCAGACTCAGATGGTGCAGAGAAAAAACATCAACGACACCAACGACTTGATGTACCATGAGCACCAAATACATACAAATGTACAGAATCTATCCTCAACCCACGACTCCGCGTCAATGCTCACGGCTGCTGCTTGGAGACCATCCATCTGCTCATATGCATCGTACATATGTCGTCGCTTTCATGCCCGATTCGCACCAAGAGCATTCGTCCCGCTCATCCAGAAAACTCTGTAGTTGCTGGGCGAGACCACGATCCCAACCACCTCGCAGTCATTATGCATACCAGCTGCTGTGACTCCTCAAGACTGCCCAACGTCCAAAATATAATGCCTACCAGAATGATTCGGACAGACCTGTTCCCCATATGGATATCGCCTTGGGCTGTTGTTGCTCCCGCACCAAGATTCATACTTCAGGTAGGATGATTGTTGAGCTCGATGCGTAATATGAGAAGTAGGAGATCCATCCATGATCGAAACACAACCGCCGCAGCAGTAAACGAGAAGAAAACACCTAACAGTGGACACACCCATATTTGATGTCGCCATCTCATAGATATCCATCTAGAGAAGCCCCGGGAAAAATGATAAGCCGCCTTGAGACTGTTGCCGTATGGTAGGGAAACCGCCACGTCCAAACCTATCATGCGCCCACAGGTGCAACAAACCTACCTGGTTGTACGAGTTTGACACGCCTGAGTCGGTGCCTGCATTTTGCCACGAGAAACACTCGCATCCGAGATCGCCATGATCGCTAGAGAACAATATTCTTATAGAGGACAGCTGTGCCAGCTGAGACGTTGGATCCATTCTGGCGCGACACAGACAGGCTTGGCTATCATGGACCAGAGTTACAGGACGAATGCCAGAGTCAATGCCAATGCTATGAGAAGAGGAGGAAGAGGAAGAAGAAGACGACGACGACGACGACGCGAGGAAGAGTTGAAAACCCTGCCTCCCATTTCGACACTAAACACTACGGGCGGCCGCCCTTCCAACACCGCCAAGCAGTATCCCTGGGTCCAGTCCCATGCCCTCGGTACTACCAGGTGAAAAAGTTCCCCCCGCTAATAACTTATATTTTACAATGTTCGAATTACCTCCAAGATTGACAGCCTGATCTGGGGCCGTCGGAGCAGTGTTTGAAAATAGTCCCCCCGTAACATAGGGCTGCTCAATCTTCCTATTCTCCGCTTGGGAACACTGCAACAGGGGACAAGAACCCAGGAATCCATGTTTTGAGGGGCATGGCGAGAATAGGAAAAATGCAAAAAAGGTAAGTTCGAAACGGTAAGTCGTCTTCTTTTGCTGGTACTTTTTTTTTCCTCCTTGGGCAATTTGAACTGTGATCCTCAGTGTGTGTGTGTATGTGTGTGCTCTGTATCACATGTGTGTGTGGATGTAGGTGTGGTCTGGCAGTGAAGTGGTTAGTGCGATACAGTTGCCAAGTTTGGGAGTGAAAAGAGGAAAAAACGCGAACCAAAACAACACGGTATCAAAAAGGCGTCGGGATTCATATGATTCCAATGGATCAGGCCAGGGTCTCTGTGGGCATGTCAAGTTACCCACAATCACCACCACACGATCAAGGGCTTAACAAGGCACGCACGCCCCCTTCCACATCCAATGTCCAATACCCAATATCCCGTAGGCAAAATGCCGCGATCCACCTGATCGGTCAACCCGTATTGCTTTTGTTTCTGTTTCTCTCAAAGAAATCTTGGTCTCTTCCCAAACTTGAGCGTGTTTCTCTTTTTCAAAGTGACGCTCTCGGCTTCCCACCACGGCGTTCGACCTCGTCCAAGAACGGCAGGACCGCCTCCAAGAACTTTTCAGGTTGGTCGATGTTGACGGCGTGCCCTGCATCGGGCACCACGACTTTCCTCGCCCCGGGGATTTTCTTGGCCATGTACTCGCTGGCGACGAGGAAGGGGGTGTCATCTGCGCCCACGACGACCAGACTCGGCACGCGCACGGCAGGCAGCGAATCGATGACCTTTGAGTCGCGCTGGGCGAGCATGCCGCGGGCCGCGAGGGCCAGGCCCCTTGCGTCGCGGTGGGTGACGGTGGCGCGCTCGGCGCTCAGGCCCTGCAGCACGGCGAGGCCGTCGGTCTCAAACTTCTTCGCCGTGGCGTGCGCCGTCCTGTTCCATTCGTCGCGCGCTGCGTCCTTCTTGAACCCCGGGCCTGTGTCGATGATGAGCAACGCCCGCACCCGCTGTGGGTACACGCGGTAAAACGCCAGCGACATGTATCCGCCGAGGGACAGGCCGCCGACAATGGCTGTGCCGCCGGCACCGCGCCCGACGACCGCATCGAGAACCGCCGCCATGTCGTCCACCGTGTGGGCTTCGCTGTATGCCGCCTGGTCGGTCGGGTAGTCTGACGCGCCGTGCCCGCGCATATCCCACAGGATCAGCTTGAACCGCTTGGACAGCGCGGCGACCTGGCCTGCCCACATGGCCGAGGTGGACGAGTACCCGTGCGTCAGGAGGAGAGGCGTCCCGCTACCGTGGACTTCATAGTACAAGCGGACCCCGTCGCGGATGAGATACACCATTTTTCTTCTTTTTCCCGCTCTCCCCGGATTTCTGATTCGTTAATATAATAGATGTGCTCGGAGGAGATAAGCACAAAAGGTATGTGTCGCGCCGTTCTTTTTACCTTTTATATACCGAAGTAATCTCTACTTGTCCGGGGAACCGAGGCGGCACGGCGGATGGACATTTTGTTTGATGCGGGGAAATACGAGGTACGAGGGACCAAATATCGACCAGGAGTATGGGCGTTTTGTTATCGCCGCGGCGATATCTTCCCTCTCCGAGTGACAGAGGACACTTTCGAAATATCTTACCGAAGACTACCTGCAGCACGCCAACTGACGAGTGCGTTTCTGTGGCAAAGAGAACAAACCTGTCGTGTTTATTGTCTGTAAAAATGGCAGCGACTATGCTCATCGCGCAGAAGTTCAAAGGCTAGGCGCCGCAGCCTCAACAACCTCTCTTCTCTAGCCCTCATATTCCATGGGAGATGGAAATGAATCCCTTCGTCCCTTAAAGGCCTTGACCGTCAAATCCTCAAGCTCTTCATTCCACCTGGGAGGTGGTGGTGCCTCGGCAGGGATGTCAGCCAAATCGTACTCGTGCCGCTCCATGACCTCGGTCAGTAGTTGTCTGAATATCCTCCACGCGCGGTAACAGGATAAGGAACCTTCACTCATGCACCAGAGGTATGACATGGCTTTGCGCAAGTACGTCACCACTTGTGGTATCTCATCTTCAAAGTGACGTCCGTCCAGGGCTAGCTCCAAAAGCAACACAGACGTCGCCTGCGCCACAAAATGAAGGAGAGACCACCACGGCAGCAGCTGGTACGCTTCGTGGGCCGTGGGATAGTCAGGCATGAGTGACAACATGGCCATGGCCGCGTGGACGCAGGCTCGCGCCGAACTGCGGTTGAACTCTTTCGACTGCTTCGATTCATCTCCAATAATCACCTCGCAGAGGCATGGCCGATGGAGGATCATCTCCACACTGTGGTGATACATGCCTAGTTCGAGCTTGGTTCGAGGATCAGTGTCTATCACCGAATCCTGACTCTGGAGAGTCAACTCGGGCGGAAGCTGTTCGACCCAGTTCTTCAACTCCGTCTGCAAGTTGCCGATCTTATCCTGGATCTGGGACCACGAATCTTCAGACGTCCCACTGTACATTTGCGCCGCCACCTTGTCGCTCAGTTGACAGAGGTACAATCGATGAGGTAAGTATGAGGTAGGGATGCCACGTCCCACTGCCGCAAAGCTTTTCCAGGGGACCACTCCGCCCGTCATCTGGGAAATATTGCGACTAGCGTTGAGGTACTCCAGCCACATCTTCTTCGAATCGGCAGGCGAAAAAATATTGTCGATTTTGTCAGAGAATTGCTCCGTCTCTTGCGGGACCGACCAGAAAAGATCGATGGGTATGGTCACATCGGACAGGAAGATAGACTTTGGCCGCCCGGTCATTTCGGCAATCAGGACCTCGAGGCTGTAGAGCGAATACCACGTTCGAGCTCGCCGCGACTTGTCCGACTCGCTCACCCTTGGGTCTGTTACCTTTAATTGCAGCCCGAGCGCCGTGGCGTGCCGGATAGCGTGGCCCAACGTATTCCAGGAGCTGTTCACAGTATCAGCGAGGAGACGCAAGATCGTCCAGATCGTGCTTCGTACCGCGTGATGGATCCATTGACAAGAAGGTAGAAAGACAAGAGTCCAATGCCCTGGACTCGCTCGATGTCAGGGTGGTCGAACATCACCCTATGGTCAAGACCCAACGCTCGCGCCCGTGCGTAGTAGAGCAGATGATCCCCATTAGTATCCTTGTCCGCCAACTGGGTGATCTGTAGCCACTTTGCTCCAATAGCCCACACGAGATTTGCCATCGCGAGCCAGCGCCTTTTCCTCCACGTTGGGGCCGTTCCCTTACCTGAGAAAGAGTATGCCCGTTGCAAAAATTCCTCACGGAGCACAAAATGAAAGGCACCCTGCATGCAGTGGAAAAAGGCCTCTGACAGGATTACCAAAGACTCGGTGGCGGGCCAATAATATTGATCCACATAATCCTCGTCTACTGCCAACACGTTGATATCGTCCATGAAATAGATGAAGTCGGTTGTTGTCGCCAGATTTTCATCCATTTCTGCCGCATGTGGTAGTCCGGCGTTGGCTAGGTTGTGGCCGCGGACGGTTTCAAATCCACGTTGGATCCAAGAGATCTCTGACATTTTCCCCACAAAGCCAGAAGCCCCTCCTCCGAAATCGAGAGATACAAGAAAGTTCAGCTCCCCTTGTTTCCGAGGAGAACCCACGCTCGAGTTAGCCTTAGTCTCCCCATACCTGTGGTTTCGCCGCGACCGACCCGGACTTGACGAGGGTGACGGACGCTGCGAGACAGAAAGGCCGGCCCGGCTCTTCGACTGGCTGCTCGAGGCCACCCCATGCTCTTCGTCGTCACCCTCTTGCTCCGAATACTGCCGGTTGTGTTAGTGGTCGAGCAGCCTGGAAGTGCGCATAATACATCAATAATTACCTTGTTCAACAGCTGCAATACATGGGCATTTTCCTCCGGACGGAAGTCTGGACGCTCGGTTAATGAGCGGAGAGCACTGACCAACCGACTATTCTCGTCTTCCAGTAAACTGATGCGATCTAGACTCTCGGCGAGATCCCTACGTACTGTTAGTAACATATGCTGGAGAGACAGGCACGCAAACAATACTTTTTGTTGCGCTCCCGCTTGCGATCGCCATAGACGCAGTTCGCGTCGTCTTTGATGCATTTGGTACAACGGTCACCTCCCGAACACTTTGTCCGCATCAAACGGCACCGATCACAAGCGTGCGATGTGCGCATTTTGGTATTGGTAGTCTTCTTTGAGATGCGTGACTTGGTGTGAGAACTTTCTGGCCAACGCCGATTTAGGGATGGACTAGCGGGACTCGCCATGGAGTCCGACATGGTGCACCCTTCTTCGTACCCCGACAGCGCAAAGTGCGCAAAGTCCAAAAACTTACAGGCAAAGAAAAGCCTGTGATGTCACGTTAACCCTGCATACAGAAGAGGTCGAAGGTAGAGAAGGAAATTTTTCTGTTTTTATGCGGCTGCTCTTATCAAGTGATGCCGTGAGCGCCTTTGTGACCATCACACCGGCAAAATCTCGCTGACTTGACAATGGGGGGTGCTTTTGTTCACTGCAAACAAAGTCAAGTCAGGAGAGATTGAGATCGAGACACATGTGGGTTTTGAAATAATTCAAACTTAGCGACGTTAAAAAAGACGATCACCACAATTCTCAGGCGAACAGGGCGGTTTGGTGCTGTTTGTGGGTGAGGTACAACCACCATAACGCAAGACCTAGGTAGCTCATTATTATAACCGGGAAAGGTTTCCGGGATGGCAATTCTGATGTGCACATCAGACTTGTACGATGCCTGCGACTGGAGCGGTCGAGGTCCACCATGTTCTTGACTCGGAATGGTACAGCAGGACTGAAGCCAATTGCAAGTGTCTGGGAAACTTTTCCGCGTCATCCTCCGCGAATGGACAAACAGCGGAGCGTAGGGGCCCCTAGAAGCACGATCTTGAGAAGATGCGTGCTGTCCTGATCGTTCCTTCGAGCACCCAAGAGGCGAGGAGGGAAAGTCAATGTGGGAGACTTGATAAGCGCGTGTTTTCTCTGCAAGTTTTTGCCTCTTTTTGATCCCCTCTAACTGGCAGAACACACCTTGACGTGTCATGCTCTAGGGTACAAGTCTGAGCCGGATTTCCACCATGAGAGGGCTGGAGCTTGGTCGCTATGACACTTTTGATACCTAGCGAAGTCCAGGAGCCGTCTGATGGTGCAACCGAGCATTGCAATACAGAATCGTCTGCCAGCGGAAGAAGTATAATACCTGCCGATGCCATGCTGAGAGCGAGGGTGAGTTACAGGAAGAAGGGACAATGGCTGAACGGGTGGAGGTGGTGTCGATCGCCGATGAGCGTACAAGTGGTACAGGTGGTACAGGTGGTACAGGTGGTAAAAAGGAAAGGATTGGAGACCGAACAGCGCAGGTGAAGAAACTGTGGCCACAGGCAAAGGTGACGTAGCGAGTGATGTTGGTGGCTGATGCCCACCAACAACTTGTGAAGGTAGGCTATGGGTGCGGCAGTCTCAGGTGCTTCGGGCTCCCCAACTCCTTCGCTTCAGCGCCTAAAGGAGTCGCGATGATCCCTATTGAGTGCCCCTCCATCCCCTGACTTTTGCCCAGCTTCGTCTCCTGCCCCGCCAAACCAACAACTCTGGTGACTTTGGCCGAGCAAAGCGGCGTCATTGTCGACCAATTCAACCCCTCCGATTCACATCGTTTCTCAAGTCAACAAAAATTATCCGCATATCTTTTTTTCACTTTATACCTCGCGTCGAACCTTATTGACCAGCATTTGTACCATCTTCTGCAATTGAATATTGCAGCTCCCACCACCGACAACTTCCGTTGACGAACTTCTCGAGCTTCTCGAGCTTCCACCATCATGACGAAGGTCGAGCACAAGGCTGTTTTGAGTAGGATTCCGGAGCTGTCCCAGCTACGATACGAAAGTTGCTAACCTGCCTTGTCAGTTGTCATTGATGGATGGGGCATTCCGTCCGAGAGCTCCCCTCCAGAGGGCGATGCTATTGCTGCAGCAGAGACCCCTTTCATGGACGGATTTGCCAAAGATGGTTCCACAACCGCACAGGGCTACACCGAGCTTGAAGCTTCCTCCCTCGCAGTTGGTCTCCCGGAAGGCTTGATGGGAAACTCTGAAGTCGGTCATCTCAATATCGGCGCAGGCAGAGTTGTCTGGCAAGATGTCGTGAGGATTGATCAGACTATCAAGAAGGGGGAAATGAACAAGGTCGCCAACATCCAAAAGTGCTTCAAGCACGCAGTCGATGGCAACGGCCGACTCCACCTCCTCGGCCTCATCAGCGACGGAGGTGTCCACAGTCACATCAACCACTTGTTTGCCCTGCTCCAAGTCGCCAAAGAGATGAAAGT